TTAAATAGCAGAATTCAATTGCAAATTTAGGGGTAGGCTACTTTCCGCCATTTTATTTGCGCAACAGGGTCATTTGCGCAACTTTTTTGACGTTTTTAAGGGACTGGCGCAAAAGCAGAGCGGTGCGCGTTCTAAAGCGTGGATGCGCTACCGTACCCCGCACAAAAATTTGCGCAAGTACTTATGCGCAACTTTTTTTGCTATGTTTTTGTAGTGTTTTTAAAGTACTCTCCCCTCGTTCGTTCCCTCCTTTTTATATTGTTTGCTCATAGTTTGTTGTTTAAAATTCTAGTACGGTTTTCATCGTTTTCATCGGCTATCAATCTCACTGTTGGACAAAACTACCCACGGAAGAAAACTGTATTGGCTCGACAAAAGCAACGTTTTACTGCTATTTCTAATGGTCGCTTGCCCGGTTGCGATTTTGTGCAACATCTTTCTCAGCTTTTGACTTATATTTTAAAAATTTGATTTTTATTGTTGTCCTAACTTTCATTGTTATTGGTTGCACTTTTTTGTTAAAGCGATAAAATATTTTACTAATGGTTATTAGCTCCTAGAAAGGACTAATTTAGATAAATATTGGAAGATAGTGCAAAAAATAGGAAGATTTCATAAAAAATAGAAGAAAATAAAAAAACAATAAAAAAAAGCTCAAAAATGAAAATAATGATTAAAAATTCGAGTGCTTAATACAGTGTTAAAGTTGCGCAAATGACCCAGTTGCGCAAATCAAGTTGCGCAAATGACCCTTTTTGTGCAAAAAAAAGTTGCGCAAATGACCCTTGTTGCGCAAACGTACTTGCGCCAATGACCCTGTTGCGCAAATAAAATGGCGGAAAGTAGCCTACCCCCAAATTTAAACTTAGACATTTACATTTATTGATTTGCATTTATTGATGATTTATAACCGAGTGAATTGTGGGGAAAACGCATATTATCTTCTATTCAACCATCAACTTGCAGCGCGAATCGTCTTCAAAGATGAGAAACGAATTGGAAAACAACGATCAACATGATGGAGATTCAATGGCAAATCGACCACTTCGTCCGCTCAAATCATCGCCAATTCCACCGCCAATCATCCCTTCGTCAACTCCTGCACTCACCTATGCTGCTTCGAACACGTTCGACAAGGTTTCTTTTTGATTTACTATATTTTCTTTTGGTTATTGGTTCACTTTGAACTCAGCAGCTAGTTTAATCTTGTTGTCAATAGTTTAATGTTGGTGTAAGTTTTCTTTAATACTTTAACCTTTACTTTCTTTAGAAACTTGTGTTACCTGATCGTGAGCGTTGGCGTGTGCCCGTAGAAGATGTTTACCTCGAAGGACAACTCGTCATCTATGTTAAAGCGAAATCGCTTCTTTGGGAGTGGTATTCAAATGTGAAAACTCGTACACTCACGCTCACTCGCCGTGGATTTCTCGTCATTTACATGAAAGGCAACAAAGGTTGTTGGATATTTTATTGCTTTAAGAAATTTTTGTTTGTTTAGGGTACATCATTGATGTTGGTGCAGCTAAATCGATCGAATGTGTCACTGATAAACGAGGAGCAAATCCCTATGTGGGTGATTTGGAAAAATATTATTTGTTTCGTTGAACGTTTAACTGTTTTTTTTAGTACCGCACTCACATCAAACTGCGCTACAGCTTTGGCAATGTTCACTTGTGGGGCTTTCATGAGAATGGACTCGATTGGAAATTGGCTGTTCAAAAGGCGTTCGAGCGATCGATTCCACCATATCGTTCACCAATCACATCCACTCCAAAACGTGTCGTGTATGAATCATTTTTTAAATTTTCTTGAATCGTTTGTTCAGTTTGTCTCCACCTCAAACGGACAACGCAATCACCCCACGTGGCAATGATGAGAAGAATGAAGAGACAGCGATGTTGAATGCTGCCGAATACTTCGCTGAAATGGCTGACGTGGTCGAATCGGAGTATTTGGCTCCCGAGCTTCGTCCAATTGCTCAAACTGGTTTGTTTTGTTTTTTGTTAACCGTAATTTGTAAATTTTCTTTAGAGAGTGCTGTCTCGTGGATGAGCTTGGACGATGTGATCAATGACCAAGAAGATGCCAATCAAGAAAGTCCCCATAAGCAAAGGACCACCGATTTGCAAGACGCCGCTACAGTAAGCTTTGCTTATTTAATCTCTAGTATATTTTTGTTTACAGAACATTCCCTCAGTCACTCATGTGCAGCGTGTTCGTCGATTCCTTCGCAAAAGCCTCCCAGCAGTTGATCGATCGTTTTCCGCTCCTCATGTAAGATAATATGATCTTATCAGTTATTTTCTTACTTTAGATGACGGTTGAAGAAAAGCCAGCCAAGCAGCATTCTCCAACGAAGCCAGCGGATCTTCTTAATGCCTCTGTCAATCAGGAAAAGAAGTTGATATTCTTGATCCTTATTATAGCATTGAATATTCTGATTCTCGACTAATTCCTTTTAGGCAAGAATCATTGATGTCAAAGCACAATGTTGCTGAGATTTGCGCCAAACTTGAAAAGACTCTCTCAACTCGTCAACCTGTAAGCAAATTTACGATACTTTTCATTTTATCTTGTTTAGGCACGCGAAAAGAAAGGTTTCTACCGTTGGATCAAGAAGACAACGCGTAGCCCTGAAAAGAAAGCACAGGTTGAGGTGGGATTTTTGAAATACTCCTTGAACAAACTAATTGCTAATGTTTAGATGGAGGAATCGATGACTTCAATGGTTGGATATGAGAAGACACTCGGATGGGAAAGGCCGATGATTGGAACCGACTCGGAGACAAATGTTTGAATGAAGCCTCGAGCAACAAATGAAACGATCACTTTTCTGCAATATTTCATTTGAATCTTTTGATACTCGGGTACTAATAAATGGGTTTTGATGTAGTTTCTTTAATGATTTGTTTGAAGATAAAATCTTGCTTGAAATCGAAAGCTATCTGAGAACGACCATCCATCATTTACTGGGGAAGGCCGCCAACTTAAGGTGGAATTCCAAAACGAGACCTGTCCTATCTTGTTCAGTTCTTCACGGGCTTTCCGAATTCGCTTTTGGTTTTTCCTAAATGGCTTGAAAACGCAAGGAATTTGTTTTTAAAGTTTTAGCAATCCTTTTGTAAGACTTCCTCGCTTGCCTCGGAAATATGTCCCCGTAGCCGAAAGGTGCGCTCTCGGTTACAAAGCTTTTGGTCCAAGCTCGACTCCATCCAATCACTCAAGTCTACATAATTTATCAAATTTTGCCAAAAAGAATTAAAAATATCGTAAACAAATTTGTTCATGACAACCAGCAAGAACCAAAGAAAAAAATTAATGATGTAACTAATAGATAAATGGAGAACGTTTTTACCCGATCAAAGACAATCATGGGTTCTTTTCCAATATCGGGGGGAGCGGTCCGATTATCGGGGGAGCGGAAAGAAAATCGGGGGAGCGAAAGGAAAATCGGGGGAGCAAATTTTGCCCCCTCGAAAAATGCATTTCTGGGACTTTTATTTTAACTGCAACGTTTTTTTTTTAAACTTTAACGACGATGCGCTTCTCCGATATTTGTGCGTTCAAGGAATCGACGGCAATCGATTATTTCGTCACCAAAGGAGTCATCCAGTCGTGGATTTGCAACTGTGGCGAATCGATGAAAGTCCGCTCAAAGGGAAAAGATCTATTGCGCTGGGTATGTGACACTTGCGCACGGCGAAATGTCCCCAAGCATTCAAGAGGAATTCGAGTCGATAACTTTTTGCAACAAAGCAAGCTCCCGTTTGTCACAATTTTAAAGTTCATACATCTATGGAGCCAGGGACTCACGACAATCAAACACTGTCAACAGGAGCTCGGCATTAGTGGCGACACCGTTGTTGAGTGGAACTACTTTCTCCGCCAAGTGTGCGCTTGGAAAATCAAGAAGCTTTCGATTAACAAGATCGGTGGTGCCGGACTCACCGTGGAGATCGATGAATCGCTGATCGCAAAGCGCAAAAACCACGCCGGTAGGATGCTGCCAGAACGTTGGCTTTTTGGTGGTCTGTGTCGTGAAACAAGGGAATGCTTCGCTTTTATTGTGCCGAACCGAACGGCTCCGGTTCTGCTTGAAGCGATTCGAAAACATATCGAAAAGGGGACTCGAATCATCTCTGATGGATGGCGTGCATACCAAGGGCTTCTCACTGACCCAAATTACGATTTTGCATGGGTCAACCACTCGACAAATTTTGTTTTGCCGGCAGATCCGACCGTGCACACGCAAACAATCGTGCGAATGTGGAAACCGTTTAAAGACATGAACAGACGTCGACATGGCACCCACGGCACCATGGTGGATTCGTATATCGCTGAGGGATTGTGGCATCGCAATTTGCCTGCCGGAGTAAATGCATTCGAGTCGATCATGGAGGACATCGTCGATTTTTGGCCCGCAGGGGCGGAAATGAATACAATCCCTTTTTACAGTTAATTTGTGATTGCTAGAAAGATTTTTTTTTGGTTACTTTTGTTTTATTTTGGTTACTTTTCTTTTTGTTTTGGTTACTTTTGTTTTTGTTTTGGTTACTTCGCTTACATTTCTTTCGTTGTTATGATCAATTATACTATTAATGAATAAATTTTTAGGTAGCCATTTGTTCGTTCGGGATTGTGGAGCGTTCGGCAAAAAGAGAAGGCGGCCGATAGGGAAGGTAGAGGTATGTTTGGTGTTAGATATTTAAGTCACTTTTGTGATCTAATATAAAGGTTGTGAGAATAACGGGTAATTCGCGGATTTTATGGCAGTACTTTGGATAATATAGGACATATGTAGCGCTGCCAAAAAATTAAAAAAAAAACGTTGCAGTTAAAATAAAAGTCCCAGAAATGCATTTTTCGAGGGGGCAAAATTTGCTCCCCCGATTTTCCTTCCGCTCCCCCGATAATCGGACCGCTCCCCCGATATTGGAAAAGAACCCAATCATGAAACAAATTAATATACTCAGATAACTCAAGAATAATTCAACAATTTAAGACTCCAGCATGTTTGCGTTACAAATTTCCCAAACCATTCGCTTTCGATAGTAGTTGATGTCGGCTTGAGTGAAGGTGAGATCCGCTTGACGCGATGCGTATTCGGCGAAGAGACACGAAAAGACACCGCAATCGTAACCATTCTTCTGTTGAGGACAATCCTGGAAAGAAGATATTAAAAAGGATCTAGAGTTCAGTTTAAAAACCCTTTGACATTGACAGTTTCATTTGCTTCCAGATACAAGTAACTGACCTGTCGGAAAACTGTGCTCCATTCTTTTGGGTTAAACGCCTTTTTTCTTATTCTCCGCTTCTTTCACCAAATAGTCGAGAAGAAGTCGCAAACATTGATCACTGTCGCTATAGCCGGCCATCGAGTCGTAGTACTCAATCTTCTGCTCGATCATGTTGATTATCTGAAACAAACAATTAAGTAGCGAATTTAATAGAAAATTATATATTCAATGACTAAACCCACCGCCATACACCAGTGAACATCCAAATGAACGGGTACAAAAATCACTTCTTTCGCGAAAATGTCCACCTTACGAGTCCATCTTAAAAAACTAGGTTTTGCAGCAACCACAAAAGTTTTACCGTGCAACACTCTTGTATCCTTTGTTTGGGTCGCGAATATTTTTGTAGAAGAACGTGTTGAAAGTGTAGGCCTAAACCATTATTATGCTGATTTGCATGTTTAGAACTAACCTTCGGATATTTGCTTGACTTTTCGCTTCGATCAACGAGCAGACTTAAGAAAGCGTTGATGACCTCATCATTTAGCCATTGAGATGCTAAAAGGAGTTATGAACAAAGCAGTATTCTTTGTGCAGATATTAAAAATTAAAAACAAACGGCGAAGTGTGAGTGAAGTGTGAGTTCTTCTCGTAGTTTTGTTTTCTACATTGTTTTTAAAGCAATTAGTGTTTCACTATAGAGTTCAACTTTATTTATCAAGAGAATCAATACAACAAAAAATAGAATAAAAATAGCTAAAGTTGCAAAAAAAAAAAAAGATTTTTGCGCAAAAAAAGCGGATTACGGTATTTAGTGCATTTTAGTGCGCGACCCCAAAATGTTTTCTCGGGAACTGCTTGCCAGTCCATCGATTACCCTAAAAAAAGCAAAAACAATGAAAAAAAAAATCGTGTTCCCTAACTTTATTAGTACCGTGAATTTTTTTAACTTCTAATTTTTGTGCGTTCTTTTCCTGACGAATAATTAGATCTTGGTGTTATATCTTTTTCGATTTGTCTGAGGTTAAAATTTTGCTTGCGTTTACATAATTGACCGAAAAACTTTGATAATCTTCATCAAATGATTCATCTCGACGAATCTAATTTATACGAAACGCTCAGTCGAATATAAATTGGCTGTTTTTTTTCTTGTCTGCCACCTCCTTTCGCTGAAAATGGTATTGATGGGCAAAAGAGAAATTATTTCATTTTCAAAACAGTCTATATTTCGAATGTCGTTAAAGAATGGATTTATATTGATTTCTCTAGTGATTGAGGTGATCTCGGAGATCAGTTTGCAAGCATTTGAAATGCGGAGGAAAATGGATGTCTCTTGCTTTATGACAGTGAGTTTTTATAGTGAATTCTACTCTAAAGCTTCTACAGACCCTGAGGTCTGTAGAAGTAAGGTTGGCATAAGTGTTTCTTGCTAATGCATATGTTAGAAATCAATATAAATCACCTGGTTCCTCGGTTAAAATGCATAGTTTTTTAATCAAGCCAAATCCGGTAACAAGCCAAAATTTGGTAAAGTTGGCATAAGTGTTTCTTGCTAATGCATATGTTAGAAATTTTGAAAATGGAACAAAAATCGTGATCCCGACTCTGGCACGCTTTAGCTTTAACTCAAAAAACCTCATACTCAGCATAACTCTTTGAGGATCTAGAAATAGAGATAAACCAATGCATTCTCTCGGAAATTTTAGGGAAACAAATCGATCGAAGACTCGGATGTGATTTTGGATGGGGAATTTACGAGATGCAATCCATTCTTTTACAATTGTCGATATGTCGGTGAAACGACGAATGATGCAAATAATGATAGTTTGGTGTGATTTACAAAGATTTGGAAAGCGATTAGACAAAACTAGAGACAGATTACGGTATTTTCTGACAGTTGAGTTTTAGAAAAGACAAAGGAACACACATTCATAATGTAATTTCCAGATTACCGATTTGGATGAGAGCAAAGGAGAGATTTCTTGTGGATCGCGTGGTTACTTTCTTCTGGAAAAGGTCTACCCAATCGTCTAGTTTATTTCAGATACAGTAGTTCATAAAATCCAAAACTTCATTTCCAGAACACATGCAATTTCTACTATTTCTCCCGTGTCTCCACTTTGTGCACAAATTTGGATGAGTGCTATGTGGTTAAGCTGCGCTGTGGAAAAGCCGCCTTTGAATTGACAGCCTTGTCGCTTTTCTGTGAGTTATGATAACATTTCTCGTACATAAACCTTTCTAGTGATGCTCCTAATTTGGCTCTTGTTGATGGTGTACTTTGTGAAGCTCATCCAAGTTTGGATCTTCGCTGCTTCACACTCTGGATCGGCGAATCTCTCAAGGGTAATACATCTGGCTTAAATTTTAAAATGTTTCAGGACTACTATAGCTTTTTCTCAAGAGAAACTTTTGGAAAACGTTTCGAGCAAGCTAATTTAGTCAGAGGACAAGAGTTGAAACGACTTTTGCTTGGCATGTACAACTTGAATCACAAAAGTTTCAGCGTGAAAAGCAGCACAATCAAAAGGTGGCAAACGCTGTAAAAGCGTCAATGAAAAAGGGCCATGTCAATTTGGGAATCGTCGGTTTCGATGAAAACGGGCAAGCGATCGATGAAAGGTTCCGTGAAACGAAATTCGTGGAAATCGATTTAACAGAACAGACGCCTTGACCCAGTCAATACTCAAGCAAAAATCACCGAATGGATCTCATCTTTTTCTGCGATAAACCTTGGAAATCTTTTTGCTTCTGCATCAAATTAGCATTGTCATTTGCATATGAATAAAATTTATACTCAAGTCAAGGCCACGAAATTCACCAACCTAAATAAAAATACGTTTTTATTTTTCTATCTCAATTGTTTCGTCTTTCGATTTCGTATGTTTTTAGAAAGTTTTTAAATTTTTTTTATTGATACTCAGCGTTTCATTTTTTTTTCAGAATCAAGCAACGGAATAAGAGTACAAAATTTTACCCCCAAATGAGATTACGGTAAGTGAGCGATTTAGCTGTTCTTTGTTTAAGAAATGATTCGGAACACCGAAGAGTTTTGAGGCAGCGATTTGGGTCAGAGAGATGCGTTTTTTGAATGCAACAATGCATATTGCAATGGTAATATAAGTATGGATGAGTTTTTTTTTTAATCTTTAAGCACTGCTAAATAAAATTGAAGTCATACTCCCATTAGTTTCATAACCAATTTAGTTATTTTCCTTTTTTTAAAGTGCAAAGCGTAGACCCGGTGCTGAGGGACTGCGGGAGTTGGTCGAGGAAATTCGGGACGCTTTCGAAAAGTTTCAATGAGTCGCTGCATTTCCAGTGAGTCATTAGTGTATATTATAAAAACTAACTACCCCTTACCGACAAGTGATAGTTTTAATGTTGGGTTTGATAGTTTGGATAGTGTCAGTAGTTGTAAGAAATATATGTTTATGTTTTGATCTATATAATTTCTTGTGAGACCGTGTCTCGGTGTGGTTCAATAGTGGTCTTCTTGAAAACGCACAATTTATCCAACTTTCCCTTATTAGGGCAACTTCGCTCAAACTGGAGCAACCTGGCACTATCACAATTAATTCAACACTTGCATGTGAAAAAAAGGATGATAAAAAGCAAAAAAAAAGGAGAACAAAAACTCACTCAAAAGGAAAGCTTAAATAACGGGTTTTTTAAGTATACAAGCTACAACAAACGGACAGCTGAATATCGTCTAGTGACTGATTACGGTAGTTTATCCATCAACTTTGAATTTTAACTTGTGTATTGAATTTTTGACTAACTGCAGAGCAGTGGCGATTCGCCACAGTAGTATCGGTGATCTAAAATAGTTTTTTAGAAAAGTCACACTGATTACCGCCGAGAATGAAGAAGTACGGTCGGTTGACTTTTTTAATTGTATTCGCAAAAGTTCTTTTAGAGACCTTTTCTAAATCGTAGCATTGACGAAGGTCTCAATTTCGTTCACAAAAGCCCCTCGTTTGGACCATAAGTGTAAGTGTTTGTTTTACCTTGGTTGTTAAAATTTTTGTGTGTTTAGTGGGAAGAGTGAGAAATAAGGATGAACGGCGAAGGGATCGACAATACAGGTTGATCAGTGATCGTTTTTGAAACTAGGTAATTACTTCATTTTAGGAAATAGGTAGCCAAATGAAGCGAGGAAATCCACGAAAGAATGAAAACTATTCGTCTGTTTTGCGATTGTTTAAATGCGGGGTGATTCGTAATAAATCGTACTTGCCATGGTTATTATTTTATTGTTGTCATTATTTTGCTTGGAGCCGGATTTTGACACACATTACACAGTTTGATTTATCTCATGAACATTAAGATGTGGCTTCAGTACCGTATCCCCTAGAATTTGTAACAAAACATCTGTCTGTCCTTTGGCAATTTAAGGCTTTTCTTAGCACCAACTCTTCGATTCTGATTATTTTGACTATCATTCTGTTATGTGGGATACTAGACTTGTAACAAAGCATCTGCCAGTCCTTTTTTATTTTTTATATCTGCCAGTCGGCAATTTAAAGTTTTTCTCAACACCAACCCTTCGATTTTGACTATCATTCGATGCGAGAATAAAATTGTGCGTCAAATGATACCAATGAATATCTATAATGGGCGGGCTTTAGGTTTTTAGCCAACGGCTTTGCGTGGATATTATATTTCGAGTTAATAAAAAAAAACAAAAAACGTTAAATTGCCGACGGCAAAAAAAGGACTGGCAGATGTTTTGCTACAAGTCTAGTTTCCCTCATAACAGACATTTCACTTCTAAAGGGAGAACGAGCAACTCCAGATTCTTAGTGGAGGCTCATTTTGACTCGATTTGAAAAAAAGTTCTGTTCAATTTATATCACACGGTTTGAAGGAGTCTTAAAATTTGTCTTCGATAGCGTACTCCTTTTCAACTAAAGAAAATAATATTTTTTCTACGCGCTCTTTGTTGATCCCAATATCGCATTAAACTTGGCATTTCTGTAAGCACAAACAGAAAATAAATTTAACTCACACAAAATTATGTACTGTAGTTGGTTTAATTGGCGCTTCTTTAGTGTTTGCCACAAAATTGCGTTGATTTACGATTAACACATTTACATGCAAGTAGAGCGCACGTAGCCAAAGTCAGTTCATGTTATTTTCCATTTCTAATACTTGTTTTTTTGCGCTTGGTTTGTTGATTTCCCCCATTTTTACTTATTTTTTTTCATTTAGTTAGCGAAATACGCCTAAATGACTGAACTCGACCCGAAGAATCCTTCGCGCAACGAGGAAAAAGGTTCGTTTTGCTAATTTTGGCGTAGTAATGCTTCTCGTTTTAGTTTATCACTTTGCGAGTCCGATCAGTGCTGAGAAATTACCACAAACCAAGCTCGATAGTCAGGTATCTTTATTTACTTTTTTAAATAAACAACATTACGATCAAGTCCGGATACAAATGAATAGAACCTTACTCTCGTGGGCTAATAACTAAGTACCTGTGTTATACAAATTGAAAAATAGATGTTGCAATAAATCCTTAATTTTTTTCTTTTAGCCACGTTGCCACTCGTACAACGATGCAACTTCGCACACGCCAATGGACTCAGCAACGATTGGACATAAACGAGTCAAAAATGAAGACAATCCGCTAACGTTTCCAAGTGAAACGCTCTCTTCTAGTGGAATACAAAGGTTGAACCTTCATAAATAATTAATTTATTGCTACCTTTTAGCACGCACATACTGAACTCGTCTAAATCGGAGCCGATTTCTACCGATGATGACTTTTATGAGAATTTCCGAGCCGCACACGAAGCTATCGACGCAGGAGTGCATCCAATTCTGATCCCTGAGGGGACGTCGGGTAAATTTCGTTTGTCAAACAATTAAATGTGCTGTTTAGGTTCTTATTTTGTGCGCGACGTGAATGGCCGTTATCTGGCCGTTTTCAAGCCAAAGGACGAGGAACCTTTTGCACCACTTAATCCAAAATGGCCAAAGTTTTTCCAGAAGTGAACTTTTAACGATGCAAACTTATTTAACGTTTGCCCAATTTTAGAATGTTGTGCTTCTGCTGCTTTGGACGCGCGTGTCTCATTCCAAACAACGGATATCTGTCCGAGGCGGCCGCAAGTCTTGTTGACGAAAAGCTCAAGGTACATTTTGTTCTTGCCTAGTTGTTTAGTTGTTTAAACTTCAAATTTAGCTTCACATCGTTCCAAAAACCCGTGTCGTCAAGTTGGCCTCCGCATCGTTTTTCTACAAGAAGAGGTTTTGGACCTCGTATGGTGGCATTGAACATTGGCCGAAAGAGGGAAGCTACCAGGTATCTCAACGTTTCTTGGTGTGTATTATTGTTTTACAGCTATTCGTTCATGGATATGAGCCGGCAAGTATTGTGATGGCTCGTTGGGAATACGACGAGAAATTGTTGAGTGACGCAGAAGAAATCTCGTTTCGAAGACAGTTTCAGGTAACTACTAGATAAATACAACAACTTTAATGAGTTGTTTAGCGAATGTGTGTCCTCGACTATGTCATTCGAAATACCGATCGTCACAAGGACAATTGGCTGATCAAGTTGCGCTCAAATTTGACACTTTCTACGGATGACTGTTTAGGCACGTTCCCGGACAAACCATCCGCTTGGCTGCCATCGATAATGGACTTGCTTTTCCCGTCAAACATCCGGAGTGTGCTTCGCGTTTTCGTCAATTTCCCTTTCAGTGGGCAACGCTCAAATGGGCTAATGAAGTTTTTTCAAATCAAAGCCCTCTCTTAATGGATCGTTTAGAATTGGGATGAAACTCTTCGCAAAGAACTGCTGGCACTTTTTACTCCACTTTTCATTCACAATCTCAGTTCGGAGCTCCGCCCACTTTTGAGGTGTGATTTACAAATTAAGATCTACGTTTTCTTTTCAGACACGATCACTTGGACCGTTCTTTGACAAGCCATCAATTGAAAGTATTGCGTGGCCAGGTGGCACTTTTCGTTTATCCCGTGTACAATCCTCATTTAGATTTACAATCTCGTTCAAGCGCTTGAAAATGACATGACTCCCGCCCAAATGTCGAACTTGACTCCAATCAACCTTCATCGAACATATCGCAAGCTGCCCGTTGGTGATAACATCCGGGAAAACTTTACGGTAATTTTTTAGAAATACCAGTGTCTCATTGTAGTTACGAGGTTGAACTAGATGAATGCTCAGCTCACTTCTTTTCTTTAGGTGCGCGACATGGATTACAAGGGCCGCGTGTGCTGCTGAGTGATTATTGCCGAAACTGCCGACATTTCACCTTGCTCTTCCCAACGTTATTTCTATTGTGTGTGCTTTTTAAGATTTCTGTCAATTTTTGTGGTTTAATAATTCACTACTTTCTCGTGTCCCTCTAGACGCTCTAGTGCTATTTTGTATTGTTCAAAATAAACCACGAGTACTTGGTACTGGTTAACTATTCTCTCTTCTATTTGCAACACAAATAAATCCTGTTTTCACACGAAGTTTTAACAAACAAAGCACAAATCATGTCGAAGGAATCAGAATTGGTTCGACACAGAAGAAAGTTTACATGTGTTTTTTCGGGAGGCAAGGGGTGTGTTTGGATCAAAATAATCAAACAATATATGTATTTAACTTGCAAGTCTACATAACTCATCAAATTTTTTTCAGATCATGTCATATTCTGTCATGTGTGTCAAATAAATTCTGTTCTTACATCAATTTTTTAAATGGGAAGCACAAATGTCCCTCGACAGGTTAGAATTTTCCCAAAGATGCTACTCCAAGCCGGGCTGTCCCCGAGAAAAAGTCGATGATGTCAAGTGCGTGGAACGTCCTAAGTGCTGAACATCCAATCACTCAAGTCTACATAATTTATCAAATTTCGTCAAAAAGAATTAAAAATATCGTAAACAAATTTGTTCATGACAACCAGCAAGAACCAAAGAAAAAAATTAATGATGTAATTAATAGCTAAATGGAGAACGTTTTTACCCGATCAAAGACAATCATGAAACAAATTAATATACTCAGATAACTCAAGAATAATTCAACAATTTAAGACTCCAGCATGTTTGCGTTACAAATTTCCCAAACCATTCGCTTTCGATAGTAGTTGATGTCGGCTTGAGTGAAGGTGAGATCCGCTTGACGCGATGCGTATTCGGCGAAGAGACACGAAAAGACACCGCAATCGTAACCATTCTTCTGTTGAGGACAATCCTGGAAAGAAGATATTAAAAAGGATCTAGAGTTCAGTTTAGAAACCCTGATTCACAGTTTCATTTGCTTCCAGATACAAGTAACTAACCTGTCGGAAAACTGTGCTCCATTCTTTTGGGTTAAACGCCTTTTTCTTATTCTCCGCTTCTTTCACCAAATAGTCGAGAAGAAGTCGCAAACATTGATCACTGTCGCTATAGCCGGCCATCGAGTCGTAGTACTCAATCTTCTGCTCGATCATGTTGATTATCTGAAACAAACAATTAAGTAGCGAATTTAATAGAAAATTATATATTCAATGACTAAACCCACCGCCATACACCAGTGAACATCCAAATGAACGGGTACAAAAATCACTTCTTTCGCGAAAATGTCCACCTTACGAGTCCATCTTAAAAAACTAGGTTTTGCAGCAACCACAAAAGTTTTACCGTGCAACACTCTTATATCCTTTGTTTGGGTCGCGAATATTTTTGTAGAAGAACGTGTTGAAAGTGTAGGCCTAAACCGTTATTATGCTGATTTGTATGTTTAGAACTAACCTTCGGATATTTGCTTGACTTTTCGCTTCGATCAACGAGCAGACTTAAGAAAGCGTTGATGACCTCATCATTTAGCCATTGAGATGCTAAAAGGAGTTATGAACAAAGCAGTATTCTTTGTGCAGATATTAAAAATTAAAAACAAACGGCGAAGTGTGAGCAAATCCTTGCGCATGATCTCGACACCAAAACATTTCCCCATCACTTCGGTTTGGCTTGCTGACGCATTCCAGGCTCGACCTATTAAATCTTCAGCGGCTGCTGGCAAATCTAAATGTTTTGATGGGAGAAAAAACAGAAACAAAGTAAAGTACCGATCAGTCTCTTCTTTTCCGGCTTTGCTATAGGGATCTTGATACCGCTGATCTTAAGCTTTGTCCTAAGCTCATCCACGAAATTCTAGGCCATACATTTTGCATTGAAAATAATAAAAAAACTACCTGCCCCTTTTTCTTCTCGTTCCTTGCCGACTTCACCTGGTCCAATTCAACAATCAACGATGAATCGTAAGTTTTACGGTGTTGAAGCGATTTTTCGAATCTAAATGAAAAGGTTGTAAACAAAACAAACAAGAAAAACTACCTTGCAGCAATAGCCGAGGAGTTGAGATTCAGCGAAGTAAATTTGTTCTCAACATCGTTGAAATATTGCGCTGTCACAATCACAGACGACGAGGTGGAAGACGAGCGAGAACGTTGTGTAAAAGAGGCTGGGGTGGAAAATGTCGAATCACGCGTACTCACAATCGAGATATCGTCGTCACCATCCTAAAATCCACATTATAGCTGGGTATCTATAAACTTTCAAAAATAACTGTTTTATTCTTTTAATACCTCCTTTTCGCCATTGAAAGCGTGATGGATTCGCTGCAGATGGCTTCCCCTTCTCGATTGGCCCTTCTTCTTAAATAAACCATCACTAAAATCATACAACTGATTATGTTGCTCTTTTCAATATACCGTCGGTACAGCGGCACTTGCGTGATTTGATATGGTACCATATTCAAAGCCGATCCCAGGTTTAAATCATTGACCAACAATCTTTTGTACACATCGAGCGAGTTCTAAATATAAAAATAACGTTTTCGTTGATTTAGCGAACTACCGTGTCCATTGGGGGCCGCTTTTTTGGCGACCTGAGGAGTGAATTCTTTGGCGTCGCATGATTTGACTTTTCATCTTCGAGAGTGATCACTTCTATGTCGGTTGGATTGTCCAAGGTAATCTAAAAAATTCATGAAATGATAGTTCATTGCTAAAAACATACAATCTCTGGCGTCTTTAATTCTGCTGCTTTCTTCGTGCCTAGTGGAATCACCTCATCCTCGTAGGTCATTTCATGTCGAGATGATGTTGATGGTTTTTGAGGAGACGTCATCTAAATTTGCACATTTCTAGTTGCTCATAAAAGAATAATTAAACAGTTGTACTTTAATGCCAAATCGCCAGTTTTAACTATAATAAGTTTGTTATTTAATGAAAGTCAATGTAATTTTTATATCCGTAAAACCGTAATAAAAGACTCACCGTGTTCCTTGTTAGAGAAGGACTATCAATAATAATGGCATGAGGTTCTTGCCGCTTTGGTTCTGGCCTCAAGAAAATCACATCATCTTCCGCAGCACCTCGATCCCCTGCTGCCGGTTGTCGCAAGTATCGCCGCTCATTTGGCTCGATCACTTGCACCTAAAATTTATAGTTGCTTTATTTCCATTCTAGGTTTCAGCGCACCTCATCTTCTTCTTCCGAATTGCTCAAGTAAATTTCTTGTCGATTCAGCGCACGTGATGTAGTTGCCCTATCTAAACGTTAAGGGGTTTTACTTTTAAAAACTCTCTCAACCTGTATCCATGATAGCGGGTGCAGTAGGCATGAAGTAGTTGAAAGCGCCTCTGAACGTTGAAATCACCGAGTCTAAAGCAAATCAAAATACTTTTAACCCACAATATACTCTAGTTTTAAATAATGAGCCAAAGGGCAATGCTTGACTTTGCCAATGACTCTAAGATAGAAAAGCCTCACTGATAATTGTTGTTGGCCGAAAACTTTCAAGACGAGACTTCTTGACGGTGCCAATGTGCTGAGTGTTGTTGTCGCGTCGGCGTTTTCGTGAAGTTTCTAAAACAAGCTTGGTTAAGTACACGGGTCGGGGGATTCATAAATGTTTTTAACTAAAATAAAACAAGCTATTTTGTCGTGCGGAACATAACCCTATAGCACCCTTGCTTAATTAATGAAACAAATTCTAAAACCTCTTTCCGTTGAGTCGATTTGTTCCAAATCCAAAAATCTTGGCGGACTCATATAACTGGCTCGAGTCACAGGTCTTCCCATACCTAAAATAAACTTTAAACAATGAGCTACCAAAAATTACCTCTTTCTTGAGCAACGAAGTCACAAAATCGACAAAATGCTCGCACTTATTAATATCTGAAGAAAAATGCGTAAAGAGAACGGCAAGCAAAGAGATAAAAGCTAAATTTGTTCACTTTTGAAATTGTCTGCATTACGCGATGAGGAGGGCCGGCTGCCAAAAAGGCGACAGTATAAAGGAGTGGCGCGTCGTCTCACACAAAGTGTTTACAATCTCGAAACTTCGTAGATAACCGGTCTTTCGAATTTGCGCGAATGTTATGTGTTTAACATAAAGTGGGTGCTACGTTTATCAGAAATTTTTAAAAACTACATGGTCACGGATGGTGAAATTTATCAATTCTTGTAAGATCATTTCACAACGATGTCCAAGAAGCACAGATTAAACAGCGATGGGCCACAGATCACTCTGGAAATTGAGTAACTTTTGTAAAATTCCCGGGGGTGGGACAAATGCGACCTTTTTTTTTTTGCTGGAAAAGGCCTTAGGCAAGGCCGTAGAGCGTCCAAAACGTTTCCATAGAAGGGAATCGTATGCGTAGATTCAGAATTTTGACAAATCAGACCTCGCTGACACGTCAAGGCAAAAACTATGCAACTTAGCTTTTCGCTTTTCTGCAGTTTTTGCCTTTTAGTCCAAATTTGACGTGTCAGCGAGGTCTGATTTGTCAAAATTCTGAATCTACGCATACGATTCCCTTCTATGAAAACGTTTTTGAAGCTCTACGGCCTTGCCTAAGGCCTTTTCCAGCAAAAAAAGGTGCGCAAATGTCCAGGTGAGCAAAAAAAAGGTCGCATTTGTCCCACCCCCAAGTTTTAAAAAAAAAATCATTTTTTACATTGGAAGGGAATTTCCCACCAAATCAGTTAAACGGCTGAGTATCTTTAAAAAGTGTCCTATATAATGCGGGGCTCTTGATTTTTGGGGTAGGCTAGTTTCCGCAACTTTTTTTGCGCAACAGGGTTATTTGCGCAACTGGGTCGTTTGCGCAACTCGCCATAACTTTCTTCTAAGCAAGCCAATCTTTATGATTTTGGTTTCATTTTGTTGCACTTATTGAGATCTACAAAATGAAACCAAAATCATCAAGATTGGCTTGCTTAGAAGAAAGTTATGGTGAGTTGCGCAAAAAAAAATGCGGAAACTAGCCTACCCCTGCGCAAAAAAAGGTCGCATTTGTCTCACCCCCAAATTCCCTACAAATCATACAGTAGTCAAAGCTTGAAATTCTAGACCATTTTAAACTAGACTTGCTTATCGATATTATCGATAAAAACAGCAAGCTCATGTTTGATCGCTCAGATCTTGGTTTCTAGAACAGCTATCAATCTGCAAATTGTTTCATTGGAAACCAAGAATGTCAGCTTTTGATTGCTATCTCACACATAGCAAATTCTCAAAGGTGAGTGCCTTAAAAAGTTTATCAAGACTTATCGATACTCAAATATTGATAAGCCATCGATAAGTATCGATAGGGTTTATGAGGTGCTTACTCATTAAAAGTAGCTATGTATAAAATAGCAATCAAAAGCTGGCATTCTTCACTTTCCAATGAAACCATTTTCAGATTGATAGCTGTTCTAGAAACTGAGATCTGAACGGTCAAACATGAACATGCCGTTTGTATCGATAAGCAAGTCTACTTTAAATTTTTAAATTCACCTCGACGAGTCCCCGCTTTGCAAGGCTTCCCTCAACAAAGCATCGTACTCTCTAATCCGTTTGCAGATCGGCACTCGTCCATTCAATTTCCGCACACAAATTTTGTAGCATTCCTAGATTTCTCGCATGCAACACTTTTGTCCATGCTATCCTATCAACCTGTTCAAAGTCTGGCTCTTCCAACTTTTCCCTAATTCCATCAACCATTCTCATACAAGATAAACAAGAATTTGAGGGCTTGAGCTAAAAGTTTTGTGGAATACAATCTTTCCATGAAACCAACCAGAGCGGCTCTTGCAATCGAAATCAGCAAGCAAAAGATTAGCCAAGTAAAGTGCATTTTAAAAAGATTTCTTATAAAATTGAGTTGTTCTTTCTTCAAATAGAAAGCGTTGCAAAAATATTATTTCTTAGCTAGGGCTAATCAGAGGCAATCTCTTGACAATAACAAGTCTTGTCGCCAAAACAATGGGCACAAAAACAACTGACACCAAAAATCATCACAGTTCCCTTCTCATCAACCAAAATTTCTCCAAAACACGTAAAATAAACATTTGCCATTCGCTTCCATATCAATAAACTAGAAAAATTGGATGGATTTTACCTGCAAAATCTGTACAAAATACAAATAACACACTTTGCCACTCATTCACATTGTAATAAAAACGAGCCCAGAACAAATGTTTTATTCGGAAGCATCATTCAGTAAATGGTTAATTAGTGGTCGTTAAAGACGAGCGAAGGCTTTGTGGAAAAAGTTTTTATTGTTTGGCGTTAAGTTGTTCTTTGAAAGAAGATGGTCAACAATCATTATCGCTTCTGGCAATCACATCCACAGTCACTAAATGTAAATGATCACAAAAATTCTATTTACCACGAAGATTACCTCAAGACTTCTAAAAACCGCATCAACTGAACACCCATGCAGACGGGAAAAGCCCTTCACTTTCCGAGTCGCATCTATAATCATCGAGAATTGCCTGAATTGCCTGGATGAAACATTTTGATAGAAAGAAAAATAAAAACATATCACAACAAGTCAACTAATTCAATAGAATTGAGCGAGTTTTTTCAAAGGCATAATGGTGATTCCCTAGCTGAATTTGGTAAAGCATTCCAATATCTGATGGCTCTTTTGAAAAGAATTTTTGTAAGTATGCAAATTTGAATACAAATTTGAGTGATTTGGATGTAATGGGTTTTCAGAAATGAAAAACTGAATGATAATGCAAATTTAATAGCTTTAATAGCTATTAAAGCATTTAATAGCTTTCTAATTTGTTGCATTATTTTTCTCTTTCCTCCTTCAATCAATTGTATTATCAAGTTTTTCTTTCGGCGAAACCAAAAAAAAATCAAAACTCATTCATAGCGAAACCTTATATCGAAACACCCGAAACCAACCTCATTACAAGTCACTCTTGTTATCGTACTTTTTCTTTTTCCCCTCCTTAGACACCCCAATCTCTCCAGCAGTTATTAGGCTCGGTAATTGTGGTTCAATCGCGCCTAGCGTAAGCCTCATCAATTGCTTTATCAATTGCCAAATAATTGCTTTATCTTATCTGCAGAAGAATCAAATTATGCCAAAAATATTTCTTCCTGTCCTCGAAAAATGATTTGCGGAGTTCTTCTTCGAAATCGAAAAAACGAGCTCGTTATTTGGTCACGAGCCGCCGGATTTTATCAACTCTCCGACGATTTACAGGATTTGTTGAGAAATGCGAATCGAGATGGAGAATGGGTGGATTTCAAAACTGAGTAAGTTCGATGTAATGGCTTTCAGTAATGAAAAACTGAATGATAATGAAAATCCTGAGCATTTAATAGCTTTCTAATTGGTTGATCAATTTGTGGCCTTTATTTTAAAGAGGCATCCCCACATGCCGAGTTTTCTTGGCAAATCCACATCAAAAGGCCTGTCCAGCGTCCCGATTGCTTTTTCAGATATATTGGGTTGGTGAATTGAAAACTGCCGGACTTTGAACTAAAATTTATTCAACATAAAACCATCAATTCATTCCAAATAATTTCCATTATTATTGACGACTTGTGCCCATTTTACAGGCAATTTGCGGATTCCTCTTTCGTGGTAGGATTTTGGTTTGTGTGTGAGACAAGTGTGAGCCTCAAAAATGGAGGACTGGAGATGTCAGCTGTCAGCCCAGTTTGAGCACTTTCCTCAAAAGAAACCCATTTTGGTGTCAATAGAAAAGTTGTAGAGAATCACAAATGAGGCTTATAGCCAAATTTCCAAAAAGATACACTTAGTAGTTTCGCTTAAAATGCAAGTTTTGTGAAAATTCGTAAATTTGGCATTTCTTGAAAACCAGTTTTTGAATCGTTCTGAAAATTTGGATATAAGCTTGACTTTTGATTCTCTACAACTTTTCCATTGACACCAAAATGGGTTTCTTTGGAAGAAAGTCCTCAAAATGTCACATATGACAATAGCCGGCAGTTTTTAATTCACCAACCCAAATAGTTTCAGTGCCACAGCGGCTGATTCGAGCCCAAAAGCTCGTGGCTTCAATTCTCCCTTTAAACTTTTGCTTTTTACACAAAAATCATCAACAAGATATTTTAAAGATCACTGCTTATGAATATTGTAAAATGAAATAGAAATGATGGTGTTTTCACATATAGATTTTCAAAAAAACTTTAAAATGAATCATTTTCTAGCTGGTTTATTGCACTTAAAAAGAAGCATAACTTTGCTCAAAAGATAGATATTTTTCTATTCTCTTTTCATTTTTGATCTTAAAACATTTTGACAAATCTTTCTGCACAAAAACATCACAATCCGCTAAATACCGTATTTCTTCGAATAGAAGGCCGGGTAAAGAGTATCATCGCGTACTCCTGCGTAGCAGCCCTTTTTAAAATTTATTTTCTGCATAAAAGCTTTCAATCAAGTGCTATAGAGCTGGAAAATGACTCAAAAATACGACATGAGCTAACAGATTTTTGAGCCATTTTCCAGCTCTATAGCACTTCATTGAAAGCTTTTATGCAGAAAATAAATTTTTAAAAGGGCTGCTACGCAGGATACGCAGGTACGCGATCATACTCTTTACCCGGTCTTCTATTCGAAGAAATACGGTAAACACATTTTTATGAGGTCGGGCTTCAAAAACAAATTACAATAGGTTAAATTTAAAAATCAAAAACTCGCTTTTGTTTTCAACTTTTTTGCAATCTCTCTTCGAATACTATTAGAAAAATGTTTGAATTTTCATTTAAAAGCTTTTTGGAGAAAATATTTTGATTAGTTTTCGAGATTTAGAGAAAAAACACCTGGAAAATTCGGTTTATTGGCTTAAATCAATTTAGATTTTAGCAAAAGTGCTTGATTTTGTTTGATTTTGTAGGGGAATTGAAAATATCTTTCAATTTCTCATTAAACTTTCGCTTTTATTTGTAAAAATAATCAACATAAACCGTTGAGAAAGTTTTAACTAGTGGCGATTTGCCGCCCTTATATAATCCAAAACATTTAAATGCAAATTAAATATTCAGCTGATCAGCTGAATACCTCAAAAAGATGGGCGTTTTATTTAAGGGCCTGACTGGTTTAAAAATTGCCTATAAAATAGCATTTTTTTTAAGCTGCAACGGTAACGTTATTTTCTAATTTCATATTTATGGATAGGCTAATTTCCGCCATTTTATTTGCGAAACAGGGTCATTTGCGCAACTCACCATAACTTTCTTCCAAGCAAGCCAATCTTTATGATTTGGTTTCATTTTGTTACACTTATTGAGATCTACAAAATGACATAAAAGTCATAAAGATTGGCTTGCTTAGAAGAAAGTTATGGCGAGTTGCGCAAAAGACCTAGTTGCGCAAAAAAATTTGGCGCAAAGTAGCCTATCCCCATATTTACGCTTGTTAGATAAAAATATGTAGATTTAATGTAGTAGAAACTTGATTTGAGAAACTTGACTACTTTGAGACTTTGAGAAACTAAACGATGCATACCGTATTCTCTCTAATAGTAGTGCACCCTGAGCGTCGCCTAAATTCCACGAAATCTCGAGAACCACTTATCAGAACCTATCGATGTGGGGTCGGAAAATTTAGCTGACGATGAGATCTAGTGGGGGATTTGAGTGTTGAGCTTCTGGGAAAACTTGGAAACTGTAAAATCGTCATCAACTCAGCTCGGCGGGGTGCACTTAGAGAGAATACGGTATTTAGTGTAGTAGAAATTTCATTCTCTATGTGGGTCTACCCCTTTAAAAATCTAAAACTCTAAAACACATCCTACTTACCGTAATCGAAAACATTGACTCAATTCGGAAACAAAACTGAAAAGTTTGATCAATTCGATAGCTTTCTAATTGTTTATGACTTCCTGGCATTCATTAACGAATACTTCCTTTTTTAATAAGAGGCCAAGCTCTAAAACAAATCATATTTACGGTAATCTTGGTCATTAACACAATTTAGGAATGGCCGAGTGACGAGCATCGCCGAACATGATTTAAAACTTGGTGGCTCGATTCCAGTTCGAGTCAACAATCGAACACATCAAGTAAGTTCCAGCAGAAAAGTTACAAAAGTCAAAAGTAGTTTTAGAAAACGCTTTACTTATAGAAGAACACACCCTAGTTATTATAAAACAATTTGATTTAAATGTTTTCTGGCTATGAACTTATAGTTAGAATCAAATAAAGTAGAAAAAGCGAAAATTGAACTGTGAAAGACTGTAAAATTTTTAATAAACTTTGTTAAACAGTACTTTTTCTTAAACTTTTGTCCGGCTAGAATACCGGCTCTTTCCTGTAAAGTCTCAAAGACTTTTTTTTGTATTTAGATTTGTGACCTGTTATAGAATGTGGTTAATTCCTGAAATTGAGACAAACTAAAATGCTTTTAAGACCTAAATGAAATTCTTCACCTTCTAAAAGATATTGAGCTTTTTCCATAACTTGAGGTCATGTTCTTAAACTTTTGTCCGGCACTGTACCTGAGACAGCCACGTAACTTGATTTGGGATTTGTTAAAGTGCTCATTCTTTAAATCCATTCCAGTTCTTCGCCTCAATTCTTATCCCAACCGTTTCCCAATCAGCGCAAATCCAATGGAATGATTCATCAGTATATTGTTCTTTCTTCGGCAAAGTGTTAACCTCATCGAGTCAACTCGGCGATTTACGGAAGCACGATACAAGTCTAGGGTATCAAGCTTGGGTTGAATGGTGAGAAATATGAGTTTTTGTTCAAATCTAAAGCCTCATTTAGGGATCCAGAGAATGAGATTTTCTACTTATCACAACAAGAAATTCGCTCAATCTCTCCTGATAAACAAAGCGCCTTAAGGTTGCAACAAGCGAGAATTGTGAGTTTTCCGGTTTACGGTAGCTTTTGCTATACCTTTAGGTCTATCGTTTTCTAAAAGGCAGCTGCCTACCGTAATCCAATCGCCAGTTTACATTTGATCACTTGGTATCATTGACTGAACCTTGAGCTTTTGTCACTTTACCAAAACTAAGCTGATCGAATAAACACAGCTTTCTAGAATGGCCTTCTTAGAAAGCTTTCTTAGAAAATGAGAAGCTCTCTAAAAGTAGATAAATGAAAACTACCGTAACCCGGATGTCTTTTCAAATGTAAACTTTAAATCTTAAATTAAACTTTAATATAAATTCAACCCATTCAAATAAAAAAGTAACAAGAAGCGATTCAGCCCTGGCAACTCGAGAACGTGATAGACCTTGGTTGGAGCCATGGATTGATCGGCTCAATCTCAAACTATTGCCTTTTCGTTTCCACCGATCAAGGCGATTTCATCCTCAACACCGAATCGCAAAGGCTCGGCGAGAAAGCCCCCGAATTGGGCAGCTTTGTGAGGTGCAAGTTGAGGTTTGTAAAAGATTTCATTATTTTATTCCTGAAGTTTTTCAACTACCGTAGACAAAATATCGTAATCTAGCTATAGTAATCAAGCTACCGCAATCTAGTTACAGTAGGCAAGTTACCGTAATCAAGCTACCGTAACCAAGCTGCAGTAATCTAGGTATTGTAATCAAGGTACAGTAATCTAGCTACAGTTATCTAGCTACAGTAATCTAGCCACACAATCAAGCTACAGTAACCTAGCTACAGTAATCTAGATACACAACCAAGCTACACTAATCTAGCTACAGTAATCAAGTAATAGATCTTTTCCAGGAAACGGAATTCGACCGAGAAATGGCATCACGGAGATGTGATCAAGTATGAGGTAATAGCTGCTTTATCATTTTAAATCTTGCAAATCTGAAAGCAATACCAATCCTCTCAGGTTCAACCGATGCCCTGCGATTGTCGAATGGATCATGTGAGAGGCACGGGGAATCAGTGTTTGGTTTGTTAAAATGACCATTATAAAAAGTCGGCAAGTCAACCATTATTCTAAAAGTCACCTATTTTCGAAACTACTGTAAACGAATCGTCAGTTTCCATTCGAGCAGCCCATTTTTATTGTATAATTTGATGAGGAATTGTATAAAATTTGGCTGATCTAATGTAAACTAGCGGTTGGATTACGGTAGTTTTCCATTATGGATTACGGTAGGTAGGTGCCTTTTAAAAAACGACTAGATTACAATAGCTTGCTGTGCCTGTCTTTTTGCCTTTTATTAATCTTTTTATCACAAGTTATCTCTTTGTTCAGTTCCGTTGTGAAGCCGAGTTGATCTCACTCACCACTGACAATGGAATTCCCAATCTCGAATGTTCAATCAGTGCAAATATCTACGATATCAACTTCAAAATTAGTGTAAGTTTGTGTAAAAGCTGACTTTCTTTTTAGAAAAACATTCAGATGGCTCAAATTGGAGTATTTTATGATGTGATCATTAAACGACCGCATCCAAAAGAACACACACTTTGCGAGGGGGAATGGGTGGTCGGTTTTAAATTCACTTTTGATTTTGATGATTTTAAATTTATCAGATATTAAAATCTAGATATTTTAGGTTAATGTATTATAGATTTATTGCTTAAATAGAATCATAGAATTAAAGATTCATGCATTTTAAAATCGTAATCTATTAGGGTGGTGCAAAAGAAACTGCCGATTTGACGGTAAATTCAAAAAAAAAGATGGCGTTCGATGGTGAAATGATCACAATGGAATATTTTCGCAAGATCTCGAGCAGATTGGCATGGATCGGCCTGAATAACGTCCCTCAGCTTGGCTTCGTTCACGACTTATGGCCTCGAACCGTGCTCGTAATCTTCCAAAGCCTCCCTCTCGGAATCGTTGAAACCAAGTCTGACACTGCCTGAGAAACAAACTGCCATCTCCGAAAGCAGCACAGAGAGAATGATGCGATTCGACAGCAGACTTTCCAATTTTGAAGTTAAACAGTAATGCTGTTCGTCGCATTGCTCGACCATGATATATATATACTTTATCCGACAAGGAAAAGTGACAATGCAAACAGATTGAACAGCGTAGACGAAGAAAGATAATTGATATACAGACACAACTACAATTAGACACGTGTATATATGATATTAAAAACTAATTTAAAATTGACAGAGCTACAAGATCGAGCTTATATATTGAGGATTTAAAATAGTTCAGAGACGAAAAAATATGATCTAAATAAAAAATATAAGCATTTTTAAATAAAATAAAAAAACAACCAAAAAATTCAAATGTTTAAATAAATAGCAAACAAATATGCGAACAAACCATAAAAAAAAATAATACCGTTAGCATCGCTCTTTTCTGATAAATGAGAGCTGATACCCATCGGCAGTTTCTTTTGCACCACCCTAATAGTATTGCGGTGCAGGAGGGGGTTGAAAAAAAATTAGTAGTGTGCACTACTATTAGAGAGAATACGGTATTTTGAGAAAAGTCGGTGCACTATTTGTCAAATTAATGTCAAATGTCAATTTACACCACCCTAATATTCTGCACTAACGTTAATCGTTTAGTTCATTGAATAAGCTGAATATCTTTTCATTCAATTAAAGAATTAATGTTATTTACCCTTTTTTAAATGAATAGCTTTTATTAGTAACAAGATTTTCGATCGAATTACAGGGTGACCAGAAATAACGTTGCGGCCTAATTTAGCCTATTTTTTAAAAATCCAAAAAGATTTTGTAACAGAAACAATTTTTTATTAACAACATGATATAAAGAGAGTATAAAATCTACTTTTCTTCAAAGTGGCCACCTTTGGCTCCGATGCAGAGCCTCAAACGCTTGATGAAGTTTTCGGCGATGGGCCGCAGCTCGGCCGGAGTGATTCGATCCCTTTCCCTGGTCAACGATCGCTTAAGAGCCTCCAAACTTTTGTGGGGTTTTGCACAAGCCCTTGCCTCCAAAATTGACCAGACACTGAGACGAGCTGATGAGAAACACGTAGCAATCGCGCGATCGCACTCGCGCATTGACCTTGACGATGGAGCTCCAGAATGGCAGATCCCTTGTTTGTCATCCTATAAAAAAATAAATAGACTTGAAACAAAGTAAAACAACAAAGAAACTAATACAAACAACCACAGAGAATAGGTTAAAAATAAATTTGTCTCCCAAAATTGAAACTATGAGGATTTTTGGCTGCCGAAAATCCCGCAACGTTATTTCTGGTCACCTTGTACTGTAGTAATTCAGTCGCATTAAGCAAAATTTTAGGTTGAACGAGTGATTGGACAAAAATCGACAACTCAACCAAACAGCAGCTTAAACAGCAGCAACTTGTCAAGTTTTCAAGAAGATTTAGTCAGTTTATTTGATAATTTCTTAAAATTTAACTCATAACAACTTAAAAACAATCAAAATTCTTTAAAAAAATCGAAAAATTATCCTGTAAAAGTTTAGAAAATTCGCCGAGAATCACCGCAATTCATTTCATTCGATCGCCGCTCTCAAAAGCATCAATCACCTAATATTGTGAGTTCAAACTGTATGCAATAAACTTTTCAAATTCGACTTTTGAAAGTCGAAGTTTAAAGATAAATTGAATGTGAGAAATTGTCATTGTCATTGTCAACAATGTTTCAGAGATCTCGGGAAATCTCACCGCAAACAACCCTATTCGATGCTCGTTCTGACGACTCGGTAAATGACTGGATTTGGCTAATTTTTATAAATCCAATATAGCTTTGTAAAAATTCCCTTCAAAAACTAAGTTCATTTTTATTTTTTGGTGCTCTAAATCTTTTCTACAGATAGAAATCATCATTTTCAGCTTTTCGATTAAATTTTAGAGCAATTGGTCAAGAAATGACTGAGAAAACGAAGGTGGAATTTGGTTTAGAACGGAATTTCTCTTATCTGAAGATGGAATAGAGCGTTTGCCCGATAAGCGATAGGTCGCGGGTTCGAATCCCAGGTCCGACCAAGCCCCAACCCATCAACGTGTCCAACTCTGGGCTATCTGGCTTCCCGCATGGCTCTGACTTTGGCTGGTGGCTTGAATTATCTCTGTCCAAACCGGCTGTACTAGTTTTATTTTGTACTTGCTTACTGTACTTGGATTTTTGATTACTTTTCACTTCTTGATTAACAACTTACAAGTACCCTAGCCTAAATACCTACCGTAAATACTGTAATAGTACCCCACGCCCCTCGTACAGTTGCGTAGTCGCAAAAGTTTTTTAGTTTTTTAGTATTTCATTGTTTTTCAAAGCACCCGTACTTTCAAAAAATGCGTCTTTGGTATCAAAAAATAGCTCTGAATTTCAGCTATTTTTTGATACCTAAACGAGCATTGTAGCATAAACCAGTGTCGAGAAAAACTCATTCAAAGCTAGACTACGCAACGCTCTGCACCGTCATTACAGTATTTACGGTAAGTGCTTTAATTGACAGTGTTCTGTAAAAATACGATGTCTATTGAACTACTGGTGTCTCATTCTTTAGTGTACTTTAGCGTAATGTACTGTCGCGTCGCGTAGTAGTTTTTTAGTATTTTGTTAATCAAAGCTTTTTTCAAAGCACCCGTACTTTCAAAAAATGCGTTTTTGGTATCAAAAAATAGCTCTGAATTTCAGCTATTTTTTGATACCTAAACGAGCATTGTAGCATAAACCAGTGTCGAGAAAAACTCGTTCAACGCTAGACTACGCAACACTCCGCACCGTCATTATGGGCGGTGGGGTACTATTACAGTATTTACGGTAAATATCCTTTTTTTTCTTACTAAAATGACTTTAAATAATTGATTTTATGCAAATAAAAGCTTTATTTAAGCATAAAAATTCTAAAAATGATCATAACTTTTCAGAGATTTCACCAAGAATTCCCGGAAACGAGAGCTTTCCACAGAAATTCGGTAAGTTTCTAAAATTATTTGAAAAAAAACTTTATTCTAACCTAATTGTTAAGCTTTTTTTAAAATTCAATTAAACGATAAATTTCTTAACTATAAAACCAAGAGAAACTGAAAATATCGATTTCTATTTGTAGAGAAATCGAGAAATCTAAATTTCAGAGAAATCCGTCAAGAAATGGCCGAACAAAATCGGTGGAATTCGGCTTTGATTGGAATTTTTTCATGTCTCTTGGTTTTAAAGTTTAAAAATTTTAGAGATTAAATAAAGATTTGAGTTGAAAAAGCTTAACAATTAGCTTAGAATAGGTTTTTTAAATGTTTTTTTTTGAACTTTAACGAATTTTTCGATGTCTAGAATCAATCCCAACCTGGAACTCTTGAAATGCGCGGCATTTGTGTGAATCGAACAAAAGCATACAATTTCATTTCTTTCTCAAATGATATTGAAGCCGTTTATCCGTTTGTTTCAATAAATCAAAGTTTTGAAGAAGTCTTTTAGTGTCAAAGATGCGAGGAAAAAATTGGAGATCAACGCTGGCGATCATTTGAGATGTGAAGTGAGAGAGTGAGTGGGAACGAGTTGAGAGTGGAATTTCTAAAGTTCTAAAGGAGTAAGACAACATCCAGTATTGGAACAGCTCGTTTTCTAAAACATGTCAACTTTTGAAAGCTATAGTAATCTACCGAACTAATCCAGCTTATCCAGCTTCACATATCATTTGAGATGTGAAGTGAGAGAGTGAGTGGGAACGAGTTGAGAATAGAATTTCTGAAGTTCTAAAGAAGTAAGACAACATCCAGTGGACAACAACATACAACATACAACAACAACAACAACAACAACAACAACAACAACAAGAACAACAACAACAACAACAACAACAACAACAACAACAACAACAACAGCAACAGCAACAGCAAGAACAACAAGAACAAGAACAAGAACAACAACAACAACAAGAGCAACAAGAACAGCAAGAACAACAAGAACAAGAACAACAAGAACAAGAACAACAAGAACAGCAAGCACAAGAACAAGAACAACAACAACAACAACAACAACAACAACAACAACAACAACAACAACAACGTTTTCTAAAGCTTGTCAACTTTTGAAAGCTATAGTAATAGCTTTCAAAGTAGCTACCGAATAGCTTCAAGTAATAGCTACCGAACTAGTCCAGCTTATAGTAGTAGCTGATAGATTTCTATCAAAGTCTACTTTTTATCCAAGATATCCTTTATGAATCAAAAGATCAAATTCGATAGAAATAGAAATATAAACTAGAGACAAGATTACGGTAGTTTTAGAAAATAAAATAGATTATTTATAATAGACTTTTCTAGGAATTTTTCAGAATTCTTGACAAACGTGAAAACGAGCAGCCATCTATTCGTTACGAGATTCTCGACTATCAAAAAATACCATCACCTACCGGTTGGAGTATGGATGGAATCATGATAAATGGACTGGCAAAGGTAGAATTTTTTTTTTTAGCATACGGTAACTAATCCAATAAAAGATCCAATAGAAACAAATTGATACTAAATCTGAAAAACTTTCACCTAAAAGCTTTTCTCAATCCAATCCATTTAGCTGATTTGTCCATTGAAATATCGGCGTTTAAACCGTGAAAAATGCAATCACCAATATCCAATCTATTACAATGAATTGATGGACATTGTTCATGATTATGATCGAAGATCGATTGAACTGGGAGAGGTGGGAAATCAAGGGATGGTTTTAATTCAACTTTCTAACTAAACTTGATTGCTCTTACAATCTTATCATCATTACAATACAATGCTAGGATCCAAGTTACAAGATTTAATTGACGTTAAAGTAAAGAAATGTATGACAAAGGTTTTGCACCAAAGGGGAATTGAACTCTTGACCTTCTGCTTATCGGGCAAAGCTCAGTGGTAGAGCACTATCACTAAGCTATTGGCGCCTTCTTTCTCCAAGAAATAGGAAAGACAATGAAGAGAAGGGAAGGAAGAGAAAGAAAGGAAGAAAGAAAGGAAGGAAGGGAGGAAGGAAGGAAGGAAGAGAAAGAAAGAAAGCAAGGAAGGAAGGAAGAGTTACTTTAGCCACTCAATGAAGAAGCGCTAAAATGCACGAGATTGATTGCTGAGGTGACAAGAACAAGAATACCCGGAAAATCGGGTAAAAATGGATGGATGTTGCAAAGAATGGTTGAGAAAACGATTCAAGAATCATTTGATGAGGAAATGGTAAGCGAATTGTTTCTATAAGTTTAGAAAAAACTTTATAAACCTCAACCTGAACCTTTTGAGTGTACTTTGTACTCAAAAACGACAATACTACAATACACAGTCTTTCTAGTGCAATTTTTCATCTTTCCTTCAACAGGAAATCATTTTCTGAGAAAAATAAAGAATTCAGTGCGCTAGAGAAGGTGTGTTTCGAATTTTTTGAGTATAAAGTACATTCAAAGAATCGTTTCGATTGCTCTACAGCTTTCTAGAGCTTATTCAAAGCTTCAAAATCGAAATTTCAGCTCGACGAATCTAAGCCAAGCACTAGTCAATATATGACTTCGAAAGAAATGGAAAACTTCTCAAGAAACATGTCAAAAGGTTAAAATCTTTTGTTTCTGATCAAATTCAAACTTTTCTAGGCATTGTCACTAAGAAATGGGGTTTCTTTTTGGTTGTCTGGTTGTCGGATGGCCGTTTGACGCTCATTGATACGAGACGTTTCCAAAATGATGGAGTACCCGAGTTGGGGACATTCATTGAGTGTCATGTGATGTGAGTTAAAGAAACTTCTCTTTTCGACAGTACTCTGGCGTCAAATTGTTTGTTTTTCATTCACAAATTCTTATGATCGTTACTGTAGTGATCTTCTTTGTCAAAACTATTCTTGAAAAAGCTACTCAAGGTGTAAGTAAATTGAAATTGATAAATTGAATTGATAAAATGAAATGGATAAAATGAAATGGATAAATTGAAATTGATAAAATGAAATTGATAAAATGAAATGGATAAAATGAAATTGACAAATTGAAATTGATAAAATGAAATTGATAAATTGAAATTGATAAATTGAAATGAGTAACATCTAGTTGATTTTAAAAGGTAAAAGGATTACGGTAGCTTTTAGGAGCATAGTTTAGAAAGCAATCAATCACTCGTTTCTGTCGAAATTCAAATTCTTCAAATTCTAAAAGCTTACAAAGCTTAAGTTTTTAAATGCTTTAGAAATGAGAAAAGATTTTAGACCAATTGCAGTGATACTGGATCGAAACACGATATACAAATGGGAAGTGATCGAAATGTATCCATTCTATTTAACAAATTGCAATGGATTTGTGGAAAATGAGGAAACTTTTGTGGGTGATAATGGAAAAATTTGTTATTTGTCCCATTTTTAAAAAATAATATTTAAAACCCTAAAAACATTTGGTTCTTTTAAAGTTTACGAGACTTTTAAAGTCTTATATCACATTTCTTTGAGCTCTTTCTTTAACATAAGTAGACATAAGTAAAGTTTTTTTGTTTTAACAATATTAAGAATAGATCCTTTATCTATAAAAGCTTATGGTTTACCAGCTGAAAAACCCGCCTTTAGGCTAGTTATTTCACTGGTTCTTTAGATAAAATAGATTCGATTTTACAGTACCTTTGAAATCATCCAGTAATGCCACTAGCAAAGTAGTGGCAAATAGAAGACACAAAAACAGTGGAGTGGCAAAGTAGTGGCAGATAGAGGACAATAAAGCAGTGGAGTGGCAAAAGTAGTGGCAAATAGAAGACAATAAAGCAGTGGAGGGGGGGGGGGGGGGGGAAAAAAACAAAAGAGGGGGGGGGGAAAAGAAGAGGAAGAAAAAGAAAAAAAAAAAGGGGGAGGGGAAAGAAATGGGAAAAAAAAAAAAAAAAAAAGGGGGAAAGGAAAAGTGGGGGAAAAAAGGAAAAAAAGAGGGGGGGGGAAAAAGAGGGGAAAAAAGAAAAAAAAAAGAAGGGGAGAATGACTCCTACTTCTAGCGTAATCCATTCTATTTTGCCTTAATGATCAGTAGACTATAATCCACTTTCTAGATACATTGCCACCAATTGACTTTTGAAGGATACCGCTTGGTTGAGAAAACTCGTCAAGCTCACTTCTCTCATCCATTCTTTGGCAAAATTTGCGATATAAAAGGCGTTTTCTATTTGGTAAGCTGAATATTTATGTGTTCAAATGGTTTTTAAAAGGTGTGCTCAAGAAAAGATACCGTACTTGTTTAAAGCAATAAAGCTGAAGTAAATCTCAAAAGGTCAAGCCATTCACTATAAGGATAGCTAGAGTAAGGTAGCTTTTTTTCAGCTTTTAAAAGCTAGAGTACGATAGCTTTTCTGAGAAATCTTTTAGCAAATATTTAAACCGTGACTTTTAGTCTCCTCAACCCGGTGACCCAATCGAGGCTTATATCAAAGCAATCCCAAACGGAGAATCGAGCCTTCAATGGATAATCGTTGATGAAAAAAACATGGAAGCTTCACGAAGAGCTCCTCCTCGAGCTATCGTTGCCCCATTGAATCATCTACGAATTGTGGATGACGATGAGAGATCGGAGAAGTATGTTTTGAACTTCTATATCGTCGTCGTCGTCGTCTTCTTCTTCTTCTTCTTCTTCTTCTTCTTCTCCTTCTTCTTCTTCTCCCGGTTCCCCCCTTCAATTCCCTCATGATTCCCATAAACAATTGACAGAGATCGAATGGAGACTGAACTCTTTTTTCTCTTCAATTCTCCTTTCATCTTTTATCTACCACCACATGTGACATTTCTCGTCGTTTAGCTCATTTTTTGGACTCTTTTGTCATTTTTTTGTAAATTGGTTGAGCTTGTTGAACTATTCCCTTCATTTTTACTAGCAAAACGCTTGCCCAATTTGCAATGGTTTAAAAGTTTTATTTGTTGTTCAAGATAGCACAAGAATGAAGTATTCTGATGAACAGAAAAAACTTTTTCAAACCTTTTCTGCAAATTGGACAATCGTTTTGCTCATAAAATCAGTCATTCAGTCATTAGTTTCTGTCATTTTTTTTTCCTCTTTTGATCTTCAATCATAACCACAAGATCTAGAGATGCCTTTTTGAAGTTTTCAGTTTGTTTCTTAGTTGAGCTGAAATACTTTTCTTTTCTATACAAAGCTCTCTCAACTAGATTTGCTGTCATTCGATCAATTCTTGTTTCAGATTTTCAAAATCCTCATCGTATTCCCATTTCGATACGTTCTCCACGTCGACCTCATGTGGAACAAATGATGAAGTAAAAGCTAAACTGTTTAAACAGTAATCCCTATTATTCTATTATCCTATATATTCTAGTAAACCAGAAAGTACAGAATGTTCAATATCTATACCAAAAATGGCAACGGAGAGGGATCAACTTGTAAAATTCAAGGGCTTATAAAATGAGTTGTATATCTTTAATCGGGAAACTTTTAAGAGATAAATGTCGCCAACATTAAGGGCTTCTTATATAGCACTTAACATATTAGGGTTGAACTTGGAGAGCTAATCTATCAAAAAGAAGCCGCTGTAAATATTGAACACTCTTTACAGTTTACTGTGGACTTATAGTTGACTTTATAGTTGACTTTTGTAGTTGACAGTTAGAATTCTGCATACAGTAATCCTTTATAAAACTTATAGTCTCTTCTGTAGTTCTAAAATCTCTTTAGTAGATAAGGTCTAAATTCTAATATTTAGATTTAGATCAAACAAATCACCTCGAGAGCCGCTAGATCAGCAGATGGAGAGGATCGAGAGACTGGCCAACAAAAGGCAAAGGTTTCATTTGATTTATTTGAATTTGAGAATTTTAAAATTGCCAAACTTGATCAAAAATCTACTTAAGCTCAGGCTAAGTAGCCTAAGCCTGTCTAAGCCTAAGCCTTAGACAATATCTTTACCTCAAATTGCAGACCTACGAAGAGTTGATCCGAGCGATCGTTGACCATCCCGGGATTAGCAATACAATTCTCGAAATAGATCCCGATTTATTCGCCGAGATACTCAGCTTTACGATTTGAGATTGTGAACTTGTTTTTAAACTTTCTAAAACCTTTCTTCTAATGATAGCTTTTCTTGGTGCTGATTTTTCATTCTTCTTCAATTTAAAACCAAAAAGTTCGGTGAAATTACATGTTTTTATTTGATTTTTGATTTTATTGTCTATTTCAATGATGTGACTTTTAAGAACTCTAACTTTAAGAGGCTTTAAGAGGCTTTAAGAGGCTTTAAGAGGCTTTAAGAGGCTTTAAGAGGCTTTAAGAGGCTTTAAGAGCTCTAGAAGTAACTTCTGCAAGTCTCAGTGCAACTGATTAAGACTCTAAGATTTTAACCGAATTCCTCAGAAGTGTAATTTTAATAAAATATCAGTTTATTTGAATGTTCTATATTATTTTTATCTGATATTTTAAAGAATATTGTTAGATTAAAGCTAAATTGGTTTACTGACTATGGTCTTAGTCAGCAATCCCCATAACTTTCTTAAAGCTTTAATTTAGAATCGAATAATCTTCTTCGATCGAAGCTTCTCATGATTGACTGTACTCAAGTCTGGTATTTGGTACACTTTGTACTCAAAAATGCAAAAAAAAACCCCTTTCTAGTTTACTCAATTCTTCACCTTTCTTGCTACTTGCTGGCACGTGAAAAATGAGGAGTTGAGTGCACCAGAAAAGGCGTGTTTGCACTTTGAGCACAAAGTACAATAAAAGAATAAGCCTAGATCGAGTGTTAATAAATAAATTTTTAAAAATAGCCCAAATTAAATCCAGATTGTGCGCGATTACCGATTTTCTCTAATAGTAGTGCACACAGCCGCGTCGAGTTGCTGACTATTTTACGGTTTCCAAGCTTTTGCAGAAGCTCAACACTCAAATCCCCCACAAGATCTCATCGTCAGCTACATTTTCCGACCCCACATCGATAGGTTCTGATAAGCGGTTCTCGAGATTTCGAGCAATTTAGGCGACGCTCATGGTGCACAACTATTAGAGAAAATACGGTATATTAAATTAAATCCAAATAACGAGACGCTTCGTGAATACCAATCAACCATCAGTCAAACTTTTGAGTTGAGCGAAAGGTAAGGGGAAAAGCGGAATGAGCTTTGTTAGGGAATCAAAATGATTGATGAGCCAAAATTTCAGTTAAAAGACCATTGGAATCCATAGCAACAGCTTATTGTTGCATAATTGTATTGTTGAGAAAATTGTCGCCTAAATGTTTTTTTTTGTAGCCATTCCTTTTTAACACTTCGAATCGTTTTGATATCCAAAATTTTGCAAAAAATTGCGGCTTCAATTTTATTGCCTAAGCAAAGATACTCTCTTTGTACTCTTTCTACTGACCGTTTCTTTTCTTGGGGAGTGGGACAAATGCGACCTTTTTTTTGCGCACCCGGACATTAGCGCACCTTTTTTCGTGTTTTAAAAAAGCTCTAAAAAGCTAATATTAACCAATTTCTATTCCAAAAGTTGTTTTTCTAGGTAATTTTAGGGCGTAGAATCGAAATTTTGACATAACAGAGCGTGTGGAACCAATTTGAAAGATAACACGGCTAGATCAAATTACAGAAAATTGTCGATTTTTCTCTTTGTATAACTCCGTCCGTTTGTTTCCACAAGCTTTGATATGTCAAAATTTCGATTCTACGCCCTAAAATTACTTAGAAAAACAACTTTTGGAATAGAAATTGGTTAATATTAGCTTTTTAGAGCTTTTTTAAAACGCGAAAAAGGGTGCGCTAACGGACAAGGTGCGCAAATGTCCGGGTGCGCAAAAAAAAGGTCGCATTTGTCCCACTCCCAAATTTTGCAAAAAATTGCGGCTTCAATTTTATTGCCTAAGCAAAGATACTCTCTTTGCACCCTTTCTACTGAACGTTTCTTTTCTTGAAATGAATTTCGTAAAATGTTCAGAAATAAATACGAATTTCGATGGCAAATCAATATTCACTCTACCAACTGAATAGCAAAATCGACCCAAAAATTTAGTATAATGTTTTCAGGTTTTTCGGGGGTTCCTTTGCTTTGCGCCAATTTTTTTGCACAGCTCCCCATAACTTTCTTCTAAGTGGGCTAGTCTCTGTGATTTTAGTGTCACTTTGTAGATCTCAACAAGTGCAATAAAATGGGACCAAAATCATAAAAATTGGCCCACATAGAAGAAAGTTATGGCGAGTTGCGCAAAAAATTTGGCGAAAAGTAGCTACCCTCAGTTTTTCATTTTCCCGTTCGATCCGTTTCGGCCCGCTTACGTTTAAGCAAGTCTAAATCTGTGCAAAGCTTCTCAAAAATTAGTAAGTATCTAGATTCTAATCTTATCTAGAATCTAATCTGAACACATTAGATAGAAGCTGGCACTCTGGCTTGGCACTCTTTCCGAGTCGCTCTTGCTCTTTTGAATTTCCAATATATGGCGTCAATATTTTTGTTACAACGCACAGAATTAACTCTTTTTCCGTTTTTCATCACCTTTTCCTTGAATAAAGTGAACTTTTTAGAGAGAAAGGGCAACTCCATCGAACGCCTCATTGAAAGAAAAAGAAAAGAAAGAAAGTGAGCCTCATTGGCGCCAATTTTCGCCAAATTCTTCCGACATGTATGAACACGAAGACGTGGGTTTTGTTTTGCTGCTTTTAAACTTTGTAATTTAGTAACCTAATTTCGACTAAACTCAGGTTTATGGGATTTTCCCAAAACAGTGTTTTTCTTCACCTAAAAGACTTCCGACACTGAGTTTAACCCGAATAAGCAAGAAACAAAGACGGAAAAGGTTTTTCGCAGAGTTTCGGGCATTTTTTTTAAATCCCTTATACTTTACCACATAGATGTGAAGTTTATGGGACTCTCTTAGGCTTAGTATTTTGGGTGGTGCTTATTGTTACCATATTTCAAAAATGTATATTTTTTAAAAAAGAAAATATTTATTTTCTTCCAAGCTTCCAAAGGATGTCCGATTTTCTTCGATTAACCGACATTCATGACTTGTTTTCCACAAATCAATGGCTAGACGAACTTCGGATTCAGGGCTTGATTTTGGGTGATCGAGAATTGTTGATGTTGAAGGAAAATATTCCCCGATGATTTTTTGTTAGTTCTACAGGGTGTGTGGCAAAAGTTTGGAGCTGCTAGGAAAACGTTGCAGAAAATTTAGCTCATGCTTTTTTTTGTGTCTCGTATACTTTTTTTCATTTTTCGAGTATAGTTAAAGTGATTTATTACAAAAAAATTCTTTTCAGGAGACAATTCGAAAAGACTAACAGTTTTTATACAGGGTGCGGCAAAAGTTTGGAGCCGCTTCTTAAGATAGTTAAAGATTTAAAAACTAGCTTTAAAAAGTCAAAAATTAATAACAACTTCTTTATTCAAAACATAACAACAAATAACTTATAACAAATGCTCGAAATTTCCACCATCCGCTTCGATACACCTCTTTAAACGCTTTGGGAAGTTCCTCACAATGGTGGTGCACTCTTGAACAGCTATTTCATCCCAGGCTCGTTTCAGAGCAGCTTTTAAAGCATTGCTGTGTGAATTATTCGTATTTATTTCTGGACATTTTGCATTTTCTGGACATTGCTGCGTGAATGCTTTAAAAGCTGCTCGTCTTTTTTGCCCACGTAATTTGTAGATCTGTTACAATTAGAATATACATGTAATGCTGAAAAACAGCAAAAAAAACCAATTAATTGAAGGAAAATAGCTTAATTAGCGCTGCAGCGAATGGGTTAAAGCATGAGACACGGAAAATTCAAAACAAAACATTTTATTTTGTATAAGAACACTTTATCCTTTTTCTCTCTAAAAAATTTCAAATCGACTAAATCTGAAATCTTTCTTAAAACTCTAACTGACGGTTGAATAACATTTGAATGTTTACTTTAATTCTTTCTATTAATCGATGCTATACTTTTTGATTTCAGAAGGAAATGGGTAGAAGAAGAGCCACGTCACAGTTTAAACGTCAAGAAGCGAAAAATGATGACGACTCGTTGACACATGAATTACGAGGGATTGTGATGAATCAGGCAAAAGGATACAACTTCATCTCTTTCTCGAATGATAAGGAAGCCGCTTATCAGTTGGTTTTTAAAAAATTAATTATTAGATTGGCAACTTGATAATATATTAGACAATATATAACTTTTATTTAGAGAAGTCTAATTTAATTGGTGTATTAAATATATTTTATGGAAAATACAAAAAAGTGTACCAATTTTCCAGTTGCCAATCTAATGCCAATCTAATAGATATCCTGGCTAGCTCTTTGCATTGTTTTAAAATTTAAATTTAGTCGGAAAGATACGAGAAGCAAAGGATTTCAAGAGTTGGAACTTGGTGGACACGTATGTTGCCTCGTCAGAGAGTGGGTGTTGCTTTTTAAAATCTTAGTGCGTCAAAAATTCAAAATCAAAAAGTGCGTCAAAATTTGACTAACAAATACATTTAGTATGCAAACCTGCAGCGAAAACGAAACGCCTCGATGTGAAATTCTTAGCTACCAAACGATTCCATCTCCTGCCGGATGGGGAGTTGCAGGGACCACCGATGCTGGATTAGCTAGGGTGGGCTTAATGCACAATATTCATTTAAATACTATGTGCTGTTTTTAGATAATCTGCCCATTGCGTTTTCTCCACATGTCACAAGGCCGCTCGCGACGTCCCTATCCAATTTATCACAATGAGTTGATGGAAAAGGTTCATGATTATGATCGAAGGACTATCGGCTTTAGTGAGGTTACTTTCTGTTATTTCACTTATTGTATAAGGGGAGACTTCAAATGTATACTTTTTAGTAGCATAAGTTGTTTAGTTCTATATTATGAACGAACTAATAGCCTATTTTTAGAAGCTAGACGTTGAGCTGCTGAAACGTTTAAAGGTGAAGGCCGAAGTTATTCGAACTCGAGTTCCCGAATGGAGAGGTCGAAATGGGCTTCTGTTGAAGGTCTTGCTGGAAAAAGAGATTGTCGACTTGGTTTGTTTAAACAGAGATGCGAAGAAAATGCGAAAATTGAGGATGATGATTGGCTTCAACAAGGGCGTATTGTGGAGGAACTGGAATCGGTAAACTTAATTTTAACTTTAACTTTAGTTCAAATCAAAGCATTTAAGTCATAGTCAGTCTTTCAATTTTAGGAGCGAAATTCTCTGCCCAATGAAAGCAACGATCGTTTCCCTACAAAATCTCAAAAACAAGAATTGCGAGGGATTGTGATGAATCAGGCAAAAGGAATGAATTTCATCTTTCTCTCGAACGGAATGGAAGCCTCGTACAGGTGCGTTTTTTTAAAAAGTGAACAATTTGAAAAACTACCGCATCCTTTAACTTTTGCCCGTTCTACTGAATTTTGATCCCATTTGATTCATGATTTGATTCCGCGTCGAATGATATCGAAATTAAGTAAATTGGACAAAATCTGAAGGCAAGGTTTTCCAAATTAGACGCTTTTTAGAAAATGCACTCAATTTTTTTAGTATGCGAGACGCAACCCGAAACAACGCTCCAATGAAACTTGGTGATCACTTGGAGTGTGTTATCAGCGAGTCGGTTCAAATAAAATTTCCCATATTTTTGATGAACTTTAGTGTATTAACGTTTGATGATGTCAAAAAGAGAACGAAATGTGAAATTCTCAGCTATCGGATTGTCCCCACGCCAACTGGTTGGGGACTCGAAGGGCAAACGCCTGCCGGGTTGGCAAAAGTGAGTCTTATTCTTTGTGCTGTAATTTGTGCATGTGGGTTTAGATGAGTTTTCTAAAACGTGTCAACTTTTTAAAATTACCTTCGAAAATGAAATATTGGCTCTAGTTTTTATTTAATCTATCGACTTTTGTATTTTTCGGTACCCTTGGTGATCCTCACAGAATCGGGTAACTGCTTTTCCAATAATGAACAGTGGTTGCTTCAAAAGCAATTATCTGGAGCCAGGTCAGAAGTCAGCTCCTGGGTTGGCATTATTGCAGATCGTTCCAAAAAAAGTCCCTGAATTTGTCTTCTTACAGGCTTCAGGGACTGATTGAAAATTTCAAACTATTTTATGTATGTTTAAACTAGTATATTTTGTTATTTCTAGGTAGAGGAACCAGATGTACCCATTCGACGAAGAGAAGAGCCCAAATCGACTCCGATCCAAAAAAAAGAGCCGTGTCGGGAGTATCAAACCAAAGGTAGTTTTTTTTCTTTTAAATGCTAATTTTATTCAAGTCTAGGATTTGTCATCAAGCGATGGGGTCTCTTCCTAATCGTTTGTCTAGAAAATAAAAGATCGGCGATCATCGATACACGGAATTTTCCTGACGGAGTGCCCGAGCTAGGCACTTTCATTGAATGTGATGTGAAGTGAATGATTTAGCACTTTGTTTAAAATATTTTATTTTTTCTATACAACTTTAATTTCCAGGATGCTCAACGCGTCAATTCTTGACCAGGAGATGATCTACGAATGGGAAGTGGTCAATATGGGGCCAATTGATCGAAGCGATTACGAATCTATCGTTGAAAAGGATACAGCTTACGTAATTAACTCAACGTGTGGTGTATAAACTTTGTTTTATAGGTATTTTCTCGACACTTGATGTTTGAAGGATATCTCTCAGTGGGCAAAACTCGTCAAGCTCACTTCTCACATCCGTTTTTTGGATCGATTTGCGATAAATATGACATTATTTATTCCGTAAGTTCATCAAGTTTCGCTCATTTAATATTAGTTTAGTCCTCTCAACCCGGTGATCCAATCGAGGCCTATATTGGAGCCGTTCGCGATGGAGAGTCGAAATTTCAGTGGATCATCACCGACCCGAAAGCCAACGTGAATTCTCCACAAAAGCCCCTTCCCCGAGCAGTCATCCCACATTTCGCAGAAGAATATGAGAGTGAAAACAAGTGAGTTTAACCGTTCAGTTGTAAAAAGTGCATCCTGTTTTTAACACTATTTTTTTCAACAGTTGCTCATCCTAATAACGGTCTATTTAGCTTGCCAACTACGAGCGAGACTTATTCGGTGCACGATGCCCAGTCGAAAATTTCTTATGGAACAAGTGATGAAGTAAATTTTATCTTTTATACTTTAAGATGACCTTTTTAGACCAAACGCATCAATTCTCGAGTGACCGATCGATCAACCAGCAAGGCAGTGGATCAAGGAAGAGCTTTGGTACTGTAACTTAGAAATAATATGCAAACTTATTATCTATAAAAGTTTATGCAAATTTTCTGTCATAGTTAAATCCTTTATTTTCAGACATGCGAAGATTTGGTGACGAAAGCCATGAACAACCCGGAGATCAGGGACGCGATTTTCCGAGCCGATCCCGATTTATTTGCCCAGATTCTCAGCTTGAGCATGTGAAATTCTATCAGGTTTTCTTGCATACTACCTCACTAGCTTTTTTACCAATTGTTTATGTACCGTTTTTTAATAAACGTCGAGTCTGTATTTTTCCATCATTGTTCTATTTGTGTTGCCGCTTTTTAACCAGTTTATTGCCCTTCCTCAAAACAGTTGATCTGAGATTTTTCACTTCTAATTGTGTAGCATGTTATTGCTGTTGTTTATTTTTAATTATTTTTGCAAAAATAAAGATAAAAACTACTTTTGGTGAATACGCGACATTCGATGTGGTAAAGCTTCCTCTATTTTAGCTAAAGGGAGCTTTTTCTACCGTATCCTTTGCCTTTTTCTCAGACATATCAACACCGGCACACAGAAAATGATTAGGCCTTTTAATTCCCGTTTTGTCCACAAATTTCCCGTTGTAAGCAAATTTTTGACTTTCTTTCTCACAATCCACTCACGAAAGTTTATTCTATTGTAAATCACTTTGTTTTGTCAGCTCACATTAAAAGCAACGGAATAAAATTTAAATCTTTTTCAGGCAGGTGAAGAATTGGATAGCCATGGTGGAACATTCACAAATCAGACGAGTCGTGCATCAAGTGGATTTCAACCTATCGTAATGCTAAAATTTTCGTTGCAAGCTTAATTGTTTTAAATTAATGAAAAATTGTGATAATTATTCCATAATTTAGTCTATCAAAGTCGATCTGTTAGGTGCTAGACATGATCTCCAGAGATACGTACTGTACTATGCGTAGCATACTGTACAGGTAGCTCTATAAGCCAGGCCACACCACAATTGGCCGAATCAGGCCTTTAATTATGGAGAAATTAGTCTAACCAATCCTGAAAAAGCACCAATTGTGGGTAATTGGTCAATTCAATTCCATTCCGCCCGCGCACACGATGTTCTGTTTAACTTCTGTGATCTTTTCCCCAGTTTATCCGGTTTTCATTGCACATCTTGTTAATATTGTATCTGATTGATGATTTTGATATTTTGATACTAAAGTACTGATGCAAACATATTACCTGTTCATATTCTACCCTGTCATTTAAAAAACTTGCAAGCAAATAAATTATTTGGACTTGAACCTTGTGTTTTTTTGAAATGATCGAGTCTTAATTCAAAAGGGTACTTTTCCAATATTCGGGGGGAGCGGTCCGATTATCGGGGGAGCGAAAGGAAAATCGGGGGAGCAAATTTTGCCCCCTCGAAAAATGCATTTCCGGGACTGTATTTTAACTCTAACGTTTTTTTTTAAACTTTAACGACGATGCGCTTCTCCGATATTTGTGCGTCAAGAAATCGACAATCAATTATTTCGTCACCAAAGGAGTCATCCAGTCGTGGATTTGCAAATGTGGCGAATCGATGAAAGTCCGCTCAAAGGGAAAAGATCTATTTCGTTGGGTATGTGACACTTGCGCACGGCGAAAGGTCCCCAAGCATTCAAGAGGAATTCGAGTCGATAACTTTTTGCAACAAAGCAAGCTCCCGTTCGTCACAATTTTAAATAGGACATATGTAGCGCTGCCAAAATTTGCTCCCCCCGATTTTCCTTTCGCTCCCTCGATAATCCCCTTCCGCTCCCCCGATATTGGAAAAGAACCCTCAAAAGTTTTACCACATTTTCCTCAATTTCCTATTGGTGAATTCACTAAACTTTCACGAAATTCAGATCAAATCAATGATTTTATCGAAATAATGACAATTTGTGGAGTACTTCTTCTAAACAAAAACAATGAACTAATCGTTTGGACTCGATCGGGAGGGATTTATTCAATTGCTGAACAATGCCGAGGAGCGATTGACAGGAAACGAGTCGGGGAGTGGATCGATTTCGAGATTGAGTTGGTTTTTAATGATACAATTTTGAGATACAAATTAGGTTTTGACTTCTGAAAGACTAAAACTAAACTGAAAAAGCCAAAACCCGAGGTTTATTCAGAAATTTTACGCAAAACATTAGAATAATATATGTACATTTTATTTTAAAAAACAAATTTGAGGTTCAGCGTAAAACAAAAAAGTCAATGGCAAAACCACTAAAAAGTACCTAAAAACTCGGTGCAAAAGTCTTGCAACATTACACTAAAAATATTAAAAATCAATATTCAATTGATCCACCTCCTACCAAAATCACTTCATTGAGTCTTTTAGTCTTTTAGTTTTAGGCATTGAGTCGACTAATTTATGAAGAACCGCTGGTCGAATTGCGCTCTAAACTTTTCGCATGTAGAACCATAATTCAATTTTTGTGTAGAAGTCTTTTCCTCGTAACTTTGTCTACACATAAGCCCATAAGTTTGCGCCTTTTCCTCGTAACTTTGTCTACACATAAGCCCATAAGTTTGCCCCATAAAATGCGCCCCCTATATCGCCCATCAGGCGATATAGGGGGCGCATTGATCAACGAAACATTATTAAGGACAAACTACCCAGGAAGAAGTTTTTCTTCCATTTGAGAGATCCACTTTGCGACCTGCGATCTGCGACCACTTGCGATGAGCTTTCTCTTGTGAACCGGCGAATTATCCTGGTAGAGAAACCATCCAGGAGCCATGTGATCCTGAGCAAATGCAAGTAGACGCTCTTCTAGTATTCCCATATATTGGCAAGCATTCATGGTTGACTGGACGAGGATGAAAAACAAAAATTAGTGTGAATTAATTAATTTTAAAACAATAAAAATGAGAAATAGAAAATATTGCAAGACTTTTGCACCCAGTTTTTAGGGTATTTTTAGTGGTTTTGACATTGACTTTTTTGTTTTACGCTGAACTTCAAATTTGTTTTTGTAAATAAATTGTACATATATTATTCTAATCAAAAACAAAAAACCCCTACGAATGGGAGGCATTTTCTATAAAAAATGTTCATATATGATTTTTAAAAAGTGATGTTGCAAGACTTTTGCTCGTTGTAATTAGTAAAATAGGAATGGATTCGTTGAAAGTCTCACTTCTCGCGATCGTACTGTTAGCGGTGGAAGAGCTACGCGACTAAGAGGAGATAAAGTTCAGGTATTATTAATAAGTAGATACAGTAATATTATAATAGAATATTTCCGAGTCCTTCTACTTCAAATACTTTAGTTCCTTGGCTCGATAAAAATCCCCACGGAAGAAGAGTCCAACAAAATCGGATGGACCGAGCCGGCCGTCCATTGCACATTCCTCGGGAAAGTCTGCACGTCATATCAATTCATTTGGACCCTACGAAGCTACGATTTGAGTCTCGGACACGAGTGCTGGGTTGATTGGTTTGTGATGAAAATTTGAATAATTTTTTGCGAAACTTGCTTAACTGTGCTGCATAGAATGGATTACAGTAGTAAGCACTCTAAAGAATTTCAGGGATCCAAAAACGGAACGCTTCAACCTAGCGGCCCAAACGGTTGTCGAGGCGAAACATACAAAGTTTTTTGAGAAAGCTTACATTGTGAGTGTTGCAATAATTATGAAATTAATTAAAAATGGCTGACAATTAGGATATCTTACCTCAGAAATAAGATCCAAGTCCAATAATCAAGTCCAATTTCAGCCCTGGGACTTGGAGAATACGACGGAGTTGGGATGGAAATCCGGAATTTTAATGGCGCGCACAAATTTCTCGAGTTTCGTTGCCACCGAATACGGGGACTTCATTTTAACGGCGCATTCGGAGAGAATTGGTGATAAGCCACCAGTGATTGGATGTTATTTGAAATGCAAATTGAGGTAGGCAAGAGATTTCTATCACAATTTTTGCTCTTTTAGAAGCCACAAAGCTAAGCTCTCCGATCAAAATGTTGGGGAAGTGCTTGCCTATGAGGTACTAATGAATATACTTTCAGAGTACCGCCGCCCAGTGTCCCCCTTGCTATTGGCAATCTATGGTATTTTGCCATTTTCTCGCTATCTACTTGATAAATTTTTATGATTTTTGTACTATTCGATGCGTAATTTGATTCTCAATCGCAATAGCAAGGGGGACTCTGGGCGGCGGTACTCTGAAAGTATACTAATGAACTTATATTTAAAGTCCGAGTGAAATTTAGGTTTTACCGATGCCTGATGATTGTGAAGTGCACAGTTTGCCTTTGAATGGAGCTTTTTGCGTGGTAAGTTGTTTGGTAGGCCCAATTAGTCTGGTTTGCCCTGGCCTCAAAATCTTGAGTCCAGAAAAGCCCTGGTGAAATTACCATTTTCAATTCCAATATTATGTTTTAGCTCCGGTGCAGGGCAAAAGTTCTTCGCTTTCAAGAAACGAGAGATAAAAGAGCTATTCTGTTCAATAGCACTCTCTATGCTTGCCATGATACTGAAAGTTTGATACGGGTAAGGGCAGATTATTAAATTAAAGCAAGAACCTAAAGTCATCAAAAAAGTCTTGATCTCCACAGTACCATGAATAACTCGAGTGAGCTATAAGCAAGAACCTATCTGAATTATTGGGACCAAGACTTTTCTAGAACCGACTTTCCAGCCAAAACCATGCAAAATTCTAAAAGCTGAATTTTTTCGGAAAGCAATAAGTAATTAACTTCTTACAGTTAATAATACAGCTTAGCCATACTCTTGCCACTCAAGTTATTCATGGTAGTGTGGACATTAAAATTTAGAATCCAAAAATTGGTGTCTACTACGATGTGATCGTTCGACGACCGAAAGACGAAGAGTTGATACAATGCGATCAAGGGTGGAAGGTACGCTTTCCGTCCAGCTACAAAAAACTTTTTTTTTAGATTGTTAAAGTGATGGGAGAACTCGAAGGATATGAAGAAAGACAAAATTTGAGAGCACAAGACTTTGATAGAGAAGTGAGTTTGGGAGTAGGACAGATGCGACCTTTTTTTGCGCACCCGGCCCATTTGCGCACCTTTTTTGCGTTTTAAAAACCTAATATTAACCAATTTCCATTCCAAAAGTTGTTTCACTGGGTAATTTTAGGGCGTAGATTTTTGACATATCAAAGCGTGTGAAATCAATTTGAAAGATAAAACGAGTAGGTCAAATTACAGAAAATTATCGATTTTTCCCTATGTATAACTCTGTCCGCTTGCTTCCACAAACTCTGATATATCAAAATTTGGATTCTACGCCTTAAAATTAGCCAGAAAACCAATTTATGGAATGGAAATTGGTTTTTTTAACTTTTTTCGAGGGATTGTGATGAATCAGGCAAAAGGATACAACTTCATCTCTTTCTCGAAAAAAAAAACAGCTTTTTAGGGCTTTTTTAAAACGCGAAAAAAGGTGCGCTAATGGGCCAGGTGGGCAAAAAAAAGATCGCATTTGTCCCACTCCCGTGAGTTTAAAAAAAATCAAAATCAAAATCGGTAAATCAAAAGTGAAACTTTCTTAAGCCACGATGCACAGAAAATTCAAGACAAAACAAAATAAAATGTTTTGTTTTGTTTAAGAACACTTTTTACTTTTTCTCTCTAAAAAATTTCAAATCGATTAAATCTGAAATCTTTCTTAAAACTCTAACTGACGGCTGAATAACATTTGAATGTTTACTTTAATTCTTTCTATTAATCAATGCTATACTTTTTGACTTCAGGAGGAAATGGGTAGAAGAAAAGCCACGTCACAGTTTAAACGTCAAGAAGCGAAAAATGATGACGACTCGTTGACACATGAATTACGAGGGATTGTGATGAATCAGGCAAAAGGATACAACTTCATCTCTTTCTCGAATGATAAGGAAGCCGCTTATCAGTTGGTTTTTAAAAAATTAATTATTAGATTGGCAACTTGATAATATATTAGACAATATATAACTTTTATTTAGAGGAGTCTAATTTAATTGGTGTATTAAATATATTTTATGGAAAATACAAAAAAGTGTACCAATTTTCAAGTTGCCAATCTAATAGATATCCTGGCTAGCTCCTTGCATTGTTTTAAAATTTAAATTTAGTCGGAAAGATACGAGAAGCAAAGGATTTCAAGAGTTGGAACTTGGTGGACACGTATGTTGCCTCGTCAGAGAGTGGGTGTTGCTTTTTAAAATCTTAGTGCGTCAAAAATTCAAAATCAAAAAGTGCGTCAAAATTTGACTAACAAATACATTTAGCATGCAAAGCTGCAGCGAAAACGAAACGCCTCGATGTGAAATTCTTAGCTACCAAACGATTCCATCTCCTGCCGGATGGGGAGTTGCAGGGACCACCGATGCTGGATTAGCTAGGGTTGGGCTTAATGCACAATATTCATTTAATTATAAAAACATCAACTTTTTGTAAATGTACTGTTTTTAGATAATCTGCCCATTGCGTTTTCTCCACATGTCACAAGGCCGCTCGGGACGTCCCTATCCAATTTATCAGAATGAGTTGATGGAAAAGGTTCACGATTATGATCGAAGGACTATCGGCTTTGGAGAGGTTACTTTCTGTTATGTCACTTATTGTATAAGGGGAGACTCCAAATGTAAACTTTTTAGTAGCATAAGTTGTTTAGTTCTATATTATGAACGAACTAATAGCCTATTTTTAGAAGCTAGACCTTGAGCTGCTGAAACGTTTAAAGGTGAAGGCCGAAGTGATTCGAAGTCGAGTTCCCGAATGGAGAGGTCGAAATGGGCTTCTGGTGCATGTCTTGCTCGAAAAAGAGATTGTCGACTTGGTTTGTTTAAACAGAGATGCGAAGAAAATGCGAAAATTGAGGATGATGATTGGCTTCAACAAGGGCGTATTGTGGAGGAACTGGAATCGGTAAACTTCATTTTAACTTTAAACTTTAGTTCAAATCAAAGCATTTAACTCATAGTCAGTCTTTCAATTTTAGGAGCGAAATTCTGTGCCCAATGAAAGCAACGATCGTTTCGCTACAAAATCTCAAAAACAAGAATTGCGAGGGATTGTGATGAATCAGGCAAAAGGAATGAATTTCATCTTTCTCTCGAACCAAATGGAAGCCTCGTATAGGTGAGTTTTTTAGAGCGAACAATTTGGAAAGCTACCGCATCCTTTAACTTGTGCCCGTTCTACTCAATTTTGATCCCATTTGATTCATGATTTGATTCCGCATCTAATGAGTTCGAAATTAAGTAAATTGGACAAAATCTGAAGGCAAGGTTTTCCAAATTAGACGCTTTTTAGAAAATGCACTCAATTTTTTTAGTATGCGAGACGCAACCCGAAACAACGCTCCAATGAAACTTGGTGATCACTTGGAGTGTGTTATCAGCGAGTCGGTTCAAATAAAATTTCCCATATTTTTGATGAACTTTAGTGTATTAACGTTTGATGATGTCAAAAAGAGAACGAAGTGTGAAATTCTCAGCTATCGGATTGTCCCCACGCCAACTGGTTGGGGATTCGAAGGGCAAACGCCTGCCGGGTTGGCAAAAGTGAGTCTTATTCTTTGTGCTGTAATTTGTGCATGTTGGTTTAGATGAGTTTTCTAAAACGTGTCAACTTTTGAAAATTACCGTAGTATTGGCTATAGTTTTTATTTAATCTATCAGCTTTCTATCTTTCGGTGCCCTTTGTGATCCTCACAGAATCAGGCCAAAGCCGGATAGATTGAATAACACTAGAGCCAAGGTGACGGTAGTCGAGAAAGTTGACACGTTTGAGAAACAATCGATTTAAGGTAAATTTTAATTTTTTAGATATCTTGCCCGCTGCGTTTCCTTCGCTTAATGCCTCAGAGTTCAAACTTCTTCCACACCGATTACCCGGTCTATTGCAACGATTTTATGGAGGCTGTTCACGATTACGATAGGCTTTCGATTGATAGAAATAAGGCTGGTTTTAGCAAAAATGGAAGAAGAATAACAACCATTTTAGAAACCCAATGTCGATGAGTTAAAGTCTGTAAAACTGGTCGCTGTAGTGGTTCGAACGAGAATTCCCGGCGGTGGAGGGCGAATAGGGCTGATACTGACTGGAGTCTTGGAAAAGCACATCGAGACACGGAGCGACGATACGGATTGGGTAACTGCTTTTTCTTGAATGAATAATAAGTGCAATAATGTGAACAGCGGTTGCTTCAAAAGCAATTATCTGGAGCCAGGCCAGAAGTCAGCTCCTGGGTTGGCTTTATTGCAGATCGTTCCAAAAAAGCCCCTGAATTTGTCTTCTTACAGGCTTCGGGATCTGTTTGGAATCCTTAACTCTTTATAAACTTTCATTTTTTTAACATTTGCAGACAAGTGAAGAGACTAGCACATGCAAAAGTCAGCCTCAACCAAGTCGCAATCAAACTTTTTCTCACCCTACAGGAAACGACGACGAGTATTGGGTTAAGCATCAAGAATTGGTGGGTTGAAAGCATGTTTTGCTATCGTGTTCTTAAAAGTTAAACTAGTCAATATTTAATCTTCTTTTCAATTCAGGTTCAAGACAAAAAACAAGACTTCGATCCTACCCATCGACACCAAAATGATCGACTCGAGCCTCTAGCAATGGAAAAACGGGGAATAGTGATAAACCAGGCCAAAGGCTACAACTTTATCCTCTTCGACGATAATCTGATAGGCACCTATCAGTCAGTTTAAAGTATACAGAAAATAATGAGAGGATTTAGCATGAGAGATGTGAGATTAAACGGTTTGCCGCCACTGAAGCTTGGAGATCACTTGTTTTGCGAGGTCGGAGAGTAAGTTTTCACCAATTGTAACCGTCTAGTTAACTTTAGCATGAAAAACCGGTATAAAGAGGCGAGACCCGAATACAAAGTGCTCAATTATCGACTCATGTCCATGCCAAGCGGATGGGGATTCCAAGGACAAACCGAGAGTGGATTGGCTAGGGTAAGGCTGAATTGGGCTAAAACAATTATTTAGACTGTACAAGCTCTTGCAAGTCTATAATTTCAGATAAGTTGCCCGTTGTGGTTTCACGGTTTATCAGATCAGCCACCGAAAGGAAAACGTTTCTGTTATCCAATCTATGGCAACGAGTTCATGGAGATGGTTCACGATTACGATCAGCGAACTGTTAACGCCGAAGAGGTATAAAACAGCTTCCTTTCATAAACATTAACCTTGAAAATTACCATTTGTAAATTTGCATCCGAAGGCTCCCTTTTCCTTGCCAAAACTCCGGTCGGTTCCTTCATTTTCTGAAATTTGGTGCCTTTTAGAAGACGGGATTAGTTCTGTTTAACATACTGTATATATTTAGAAGCCGAACATACAAGCGTTAAAATCGATGAAGCTAATTGGCGAAGTGGTGGCAACTCGTTTGCCAAACACTGGTGGATTGCCCGGAATCTTGCTGCAGCAAATCCTTGAGAGACATGTTGAAGCAAATGCAAGCAATCAATTCTACGAATCGGTAGTTAAAGTTTTCTCACTTTTGTCAAAGCTTCTTTTAGGTAGATGAAAGAATCGATGATTATCCAAAGATCGAGCAAAGAGATCCTCAACCCAAGTATCAGTTTGAAGGTAGATTTGGATTTGTTGATCTTTTTTCAAGAATTACAGTTACAACTACAGATTACAACAATCACATCAAAAGCATTTCTTTTTAGGATATGTCCTCAAGAAGTGGGGTTTCTTCTTGGTGATTTGGGTGACGGACAACCGCTTGGCGGTCATCGATACAAGAAGTTTTGCGAAGAATGACGTGCCTGAGTTGGGATCTATCATCGAATGTGATATTGTGTGAGTTTAGGTTTAGATTTTATACGAAAAACTACTCTTAAGAGCCTGTTCTCAAGATTTTGGATAATTCCATGGTAAGGTAGCTGAGATACTGTAAGTAGAGTGACTTCTCTCGACTAATCCATTTTCTAAAACGTGTCCACTTTCTCTACTACCGTAATCGTAATCGAGTTTTATCCAATCTATCCACTTTTGATCTGATTCTGTGAGGGTTCACGAAGAAAACTTATCCAAAAGCATAGATTGGAAAAAACTAGAACCAAGGTTACGGTGGTTTTGTAGAAAAAGTTTTCCTAAATTTATGAAAGTATTCCTAAATTTTGCTTCACATTTCAGGGCAATGGATGCGCCGATTCTTGACCAGAAAATGATCTACAAATGGGACGTGATCGCAATGGGACGATTTCGACGAAATTCTCGCGATTCCATCGTTGACACGGAGAAATCTATTGTAAATCATCAAGCTTATCTGATTTCTATTCTGATGTAAATTTTCAATTTAACAAATGTTTAGGTCTTCTGTCGAGAACTGATCTTCGAATCATATCGCTTGGTCAATGGGAAACCAATTGCCCACTTTTCACATCCATTCTTTGGGTTGATTTACGATAAACAAGGAGTTTTCAAAGCGGTAGGACACTTTAAAACGTATATAAAATGGTTTTACTGTAAATTTGAATAGAAAAATTTGAATAGTTTGAATAGACAGCACTCTCTGAAGCTGGACTGTTCTAAGGTCCGATTTTTCAGGTCAAGCAAACAAGCAAATCGTTTGCTTTCGATATTGTTTTATTTTGGTTTGGCAAACCTAAAACATTTTGGCTTTTTAGAACAGTTCTGCTAAAGTTTTGTCAAATATCTGACCGCTTTAAAGCTAACGAATTTTTTGAAGGAAAGAATTTAATGAATTGAATGGCCTTGCTGTAATCACAGTAAGACACACAGAGTAATCACTTATACAAAAGTAATAAGTAATAAGCAATAAGCAATAAGTAAAAGTAATAAAAAGACACTTCCTATTTTCTGATTAATATTTTTTTAGTTTCCCCAACCTGGTGACCTAATCGACTCCTACATTCAAGCGATTCCCGATGGAGAATCGAGTCTGCAATGGGCTATTGCTGATCCGGAAGACAACGAGAAATCTCTTCTAAAATTGCCACCTCGAGCCATTGTTGCACCATTGAACTATATAAGAATTGTTGACGATGATGATGAGGATGAGGGGAATGAGTGGGAAAGTTTTTCCAATGCTTTCAGTTTGTCGAAAATTAGCGAAACGGCGCATATAGGAAGAGGAATTGACGCTCAATCGACTTCAACGTATGGAACGAATGAAGAGGTATAAGAATATATTGTCCAGTTATTGATTGTAGTAAATATTATTAGAATAAATGATTTTTTTTTAGATTGAACAGATAACTTCAAGTACGAGTGGCCGAACGACTGGCAAAGAATCAAATCAAACTCCAATAGAGAGGAGGGCAAAGGTGGGTTTGTAGGAGTTGAGAAGGCACAAAGACTTGGCAAAATGCAGGGTTAAATGGCTAATCACATAGAAAAATGCAGTTAAAACGCTTGTAGCTTAAAACTATTTTTATATTCGAATCCAGAAAGTTTGATTACCGTAAGAAGTCTTTCCTAAACCTTATCCACAAATGCTCCGTAGTCTAATAAAATTGACCACTTAAATGCTATTGTAGAAATGAAATTGAATCAGGTTCTTTAGAATGGCTTGTGTTTAGATCTTAATTTCAGTTTTATCATTTACCAACTCATTTAGAGTTACGAGGAATTGCTGACGACAATCGTCAACCATCCCGAAATAGCTCAAGTGGTCTACAAAGTGAATCCCGACTTGTTCGCCGAGTGTCTCAGTTTGAATATGTAAAAAGAAATTCTCTATTCTCTACTGTAAAGCTTTCTCTTACAAAAATCAAATCAACTCGAATCGCTAGTCTTTACTAAAGTTTATTTGTCTATTGCATTTTCTATTGTAGTGTGCCTTTTTTTCTTACGAGTACTCGTTAAAATTGTTAAATGCTTGTTAAATGCTCATTATTTTGTTCACATTATTATTAAAATTGTCTATTATTTGTATCAAATTTACATATTAACAAGTACATATCAAGATTTATTATCAAAACATAAAAAAAAAACAAACTGTTAACGTACTAACAAATTTGGTAACCCGATTGCTATAGACTACGAAGAACAAAATATTAGGCTATCTAGAAAGTCTTTTCCTTCATTTTTCCTTCGTATTTCAAATTGATGCATTTGTTAGTTTTAAAAAGAATTACGAAAAGAAATGAAAAAAACTTTCTAAAAAGACTAATATCATGAAAATATTTTTTTAAAATCTTAAAAACTTGTACCGGTAAAAAGATATGGAGAGAAATTTGAATAGATTTTGGTCCAATTTTTTTGGAAATGCTCACACAAATATGGTAATGTTTCATGGATGTGGGAAAACAAAAGAAAAACGAGAACAAGAATCAATATGATCGAAGAAATGGAAAAGAAAATAGGCCGTAAATTTTCTAAGAAAAGCACACCCTATAGGAGTGTCGTGTAGTCTAAGTTTACACTCAAATAAACGCTCGTATCTTGGCACCAATATGTTTGTTTCTGCTCGCTTTAGTATCAAATTAAAGTAGAGAAGATGGGTGTTTTTTTGAGATATAGCACATAGTTTTAGCATTAACCAGCGCTTAGAAAAAAAATTATTGAAAAGTGGCAAAAAAAGCCGATTTTTCATCATTTTTCAATCATTTTTTTCTAAGCGCTGGTTAATGCTAAAACTATGTGCTATATCTCAAAAAATCACCAATCCTCTCTACTTTAATTTGATACCCAAGCGCGCAGAAACAAACATACTGGAGCTGAGATACGAGCGTTTATTTGAGTGTAAACTTAGACTACACGACGCTCCTATAGGGTGTGCTTTTATTAGAAAATTTACGATACTTCTTTAGTGTAAATTTGGGGGGGGGAGGGGGACGACGTTTCCTCCTTTTTTCGCACCTGGACATTTGCGCCCCCTTGGCCTTGGGCCTTAGGCAAGACCGTACAGCTCACGTAAAAATATTTCCATAAAAGGGAATTCGTGTGATTCCGAAATTTCGACAAATCAGACCTCGCTGACACGTCAAATTTGGGCCAAGTAAAGCCGGAAAGGCGTTAAGTTGCGTAGTTTTTGCGCCTTTAGCCAAAATCTAATGCCAGGGAGGTCTGATTTGTCGAAATTCGGAATCTTCGCATACATTCCCTTTTTATGGAAGTATTTTCGAAATATTTTCGAAGCTCTACGGCCTTGCCTAAGGCCTTTTCCAGCAAAAAAAAAAGGTGCGCAAATGTCCAGGTGCGCAAAAAAAAGGTCGCATTTGTCCCACCCCCGTAAATTTTAGTAGATTAAGAAGAAAACATGTTTGGATTACGATTTTTTTTTTACAAAAGTGATAAAAACTCGAGACGACAAGCCGTGAAAACGTCTCTTTCAGTCCGAATGATCACTTTGTTTCCCTCGCGAATCGAGTCCGGTTGCGCGAAAACAACCTGAAAACTCTTTTGTTTATAGGATTCGATTCAATTCCTTCATTATCATTAAGTTTAGATCTGATAAAACAGAATTGACAGTATTCTTTTCAAAATCAGACTATCTATGGTACACCTTCCCGCTCGCTTTCTAGAGTTGTTCGATTTGTGCTTTACTATTTGTTTAGGCTACTCTGGCTCCACTTCTATTCAAAAGCTATTCAAAAGGCTACCCTAGGCTGCAGTAAAGCTAGATTAAACGAAGCTAGACAAAGCCAAGACCTGGAAAGATCCATTTTTGGAATACGGATCTTTCTGGTACTGATTAAAGTCCGGTTGAGTAGATTTGTATTTGAGTATTTAGTTGAGCACTTTGTTTCCTTCAAAATAGGTCACCTGATCCCTGTAGAGGCGTAGTTTGATCTCGGGAATGCAAACATTTTGCGTGATTTTCATCGGCTGCTCACCAGCCAACACTTTGCCGACACAAGTCGCCGGAAATGAGACCAATTGCTCGGTTCGATCGGAGAGTCTGAATGGGAGCATGTTAATGAACCGAATCAAAAAGGAAACAGAAAAAAACATGTCTGGGAATCTCCCTTTTAACTCACCGAAATCCGTGCAACCAATCCGGATCCCCGTTGTTGACGACGATGAGTCTTTCACCGAGGATTAGTGTTTGTCCGGCTGACGGTGTGTACTCGTGAATGACGATGTGACCGCCTTGACTTGCCACTAAAGAAAAATAATGGCTTCACTTGTTCTCTAATGTACTTTGTGTTCGAAAACTGGGAACGCTTATGCTCTAGTGCACTGATTTCTTTAACATTCATTCCATTTCCCTCATTTCTAGCTTAATTTTGAACAAATTTTTGGTTTAAAATAGAATTCATCATTGATTCGTTCACCTTTTTTTTCTGAATGTTAAAGAGTTAAGGTTGGATTTAAAATGTTCCTCATTAAATTTGGCTATAAAAAGGTACAATTTGTTTTGTAAACTCAAGTGTAAGAGTGTAAGAAAATAGAGAAAATTTGTGCCAAAGTTGACTCACCTAGCTAGAGAAGTCGATCAACTTTGACGCTCTATAACTCGAGGGATAGAAGTTGAATCAACTTATGGTTGGTTTTAAATAGAATCTTCATCAAATTTGACTATAGAAAAGTAGAATTTGTTTTGTAGACTTACCGATAAAAACATAGAGAAAATTTGAGTCAAAGTTGAGCTACCTACCTGGAAAGGTTGATCAACTTAAATGGTCTATAACTCGAGGGATAGAGGTTGAATCAACTTATGGTTGGTTTTATTAGAATTTTCATTAAATTTGGTTATAGAAAAGTAGAATTTGTTTTATAGACTCATCGATAAAAACATAGAGAGAATTTGAGTCAAAGTTGAGCTACCTACCTGGAAAGGTTGATCAACTTAAATGGTCTATAACTCGAGGGATAGAAGTTGAATCAACTTATGGTTGGTTTTAAATAGAATCTTCATTAAATTTGGTTATAGAAAAGAAGATGAACTTTGAATTTTATCTAGTTCTTAATCTTAAACGAAAAAAATTCTAATCAATGATTTTTTCTTTTTTCTTTTTGATTTTTAAACTTGTTAATTGTTAATTGTTAATTGATTCCCCAAAGATTTCTCGATTTTCGATCTTCTAATCAAATCAATTAATATTGAAGAACAAAGCCTGCAATTTGACTCAATGAAACATTGAAGAAATCAGTGCACTAGAGAAAACGTGTTTGCATTATCGAGCATGAATGTACTTTATGTTAAATGAATGTACTTTATGTAAGCATAAAGCTAAATGAATGTACTTTATGCCTTGCTTTAAACGTATCCTTTCTAGGGCACTCAATTTCATATATAGCCATATTTCTAGAAGATAATGAAGAATTCAGAAAGGATAAATCACTTGAACACAAAGTATCTTTTCTTGATTGAAGATTGAAAACAGATCCTTTCTAGTGCACTAAATCTTTCGCTTATAAAAGTCTACAAGAAAATGAAAGAGCTTTAGAAAAGCGGAAACCGTTAAGCTTCAATGACTCGAGCACAAAGTACAGAAAGTTTATATTTGATTTTCAAATGCTTACACGTTTGCGCCGATGCCCGTCGACTTGAATTCACTTGCGGTGAGCAGCTTCTTTCCCAGTCTGATAAATCTGAGGATCCATTTTTAAGCCTCCCCGTCGATGATGTCGTATCTCGAGCGCTCAACTTGTTCGTTTCTCCTGAGAATTTTCATGATTTCATGATTTCATCTTTTCCTCTTTTCCCATTAAAGCATTAAAGCATTTTTCTTTTCGTGAGAAGCTTTTAATTGAAATTTGAAAGGAAAGAGTTTAAAAGGAAATGATTTGTTGGAAAGAGTACAAAGTACAAAGTACAAAAATCAAGTCAGTTTTATGAAGCTGAAGTTTAAAAGACTGAAATCTAGCTGAACTTGATATCTAGATATTTACAAAGCCTACCATTTAGTACAGTAAACTGTACAAAGCAGTACAATAAACTGTACAAAGCAGTACAGTAAACATCCTTTAAAACTCGTGGACAACTTTCCAGCTTAGCTTTTGTCTAGCTTTGAGCTTAAACATTTTAGAGATGCAAAAAAGTACAGTGCTTGCAAGAACCAGACTAACTGACTACTCTAAGATCCGTTATTTTCCAAGTTCTTAAAACTCACGACTCATCGGACTCCTTGAAACGCCTTGTACTCTCGGCGGCACTTCGGCGCAATCTAACGAGAGACTTTTCATTTGTTGAGTCAATTTTGGAGCTCTTCGCTTAGCTGGAGCACGACCTGGAAACAAAAAAAAAATTCTTTAAAAGTACAAAAGCAGTGCTAAGAGTTTTTTCTTCATTTTCCATTTTCCTATTTGCACCTGTATCCCTTTATTTTAAATGACTCGCTTTTTTTTCTCCCATCGCCGATAACTACCCGACTCGAATTTCTTATTTAAATTGCTTTCTCGGGATTGTGTAGAACGGGGAATTGCCTAGTGACGAAGAGATTACTGAAGTTAGGGAAAAGTTTTAAAACAAAAAAGAGATTTGGGAAGGGATTGAACGAGAGGGGGTTTTAGCTGATTAACAGCAGCTGCTAATCAGCTATTAATCAGCTATTAATCAGCTGTTAATCAGCTATTAATCAGCTGTTAATCGCGCTCACTACCACTGCACTAATTGACCGAATTGATAGATAAATAAAGCATAAATGAAGATAAATTTGGGAAGGGATTGAACGAGAGACGTTTTGGCAGATAAATCAATGATAAATGAAGCATAGATAAACGAAATAAATCTTTGAATAAAGCTAATACTTTTAGACTTTATTAGTACAGTTGAATTAGCTGAATATCTTAGAAATAAAAGAATTTTCAGTTTAGAGGACTACTGTAGACTGAGGCAGTAGTATCCTGTAGGTTTTTTTCTAATTGCAAAAAACTTTTGTCTGGAAAGGAATCGAACCAGCGAGATTACCGAGATTCGTCAGCCTGATAGCAGCGCCCACTACCACTGCACCACACCAAGACCTTTTCCAAAGCAAAACTTTTTCTGATAAACTTGATGTCACTGTTCCGTTACACAAGTGTTTATAGTCTGACCTTGTAGTTTGTAGCGCCCATGTCTACTTCTCTAAGCCTGAGCTTGAGGCTAAGCCAGAGCCTAAGCCAGAGCCTAAGCCTAAGCCTAAGCCTAAGCCTCATCCGACAACCGGCTGAGATCCAGAAAATGGGGGTTCAGCCCAAACCCAAACAGACTTAGTGCTAGGCGCTAGCCGCTAGCCTTCGCACTAAGTCCAAGCCTAAGCCTAAGCTTAAGCCTAAGCCTAAGCCTAAGCCAGAGCCTAAGCCTGATGAGCCTAAGCCTAAGCCTAAGCCCAGCCCTATAGCCGCGCCCACTACCACTGCACCAAACCAAGACCCTTTTCAAGCCAAACTTTTTCTGATAAACTTGATGTCACTGCTCTTCACAAAAAAAAACCCACACATGGTCGTTTTGTATAATAAATATCGATATAAGTCCATTGTTGGTGCAGTTGTCAGCGGAGTGTCTTGTAGTTGACCGTTTATTAAGTGATCGTCTACAATAAAGCTCGGGAATTTCTCGAATTTTCGCATTCACAAATATTTAACTGTGAAATGGTTCAAATATTGTGAAGGTGGAGAGAAATTACAAAAATCTCTCAGGTTACCAAGGCAACAAAACAGTCAAACAGATTGTTTAAGTTTTTTTTCTTTTTTTTTTTTAAGTTTTGTTAAATTGAACAGCCTCGGTAATTGGCTTAGTCTCTTGGGATTATTGAGGAATTTTTGTGATGTGATTTAAGGCTTAGAACCCCACAATCAAAAGAAGTCTCAATTTCATCAAAAATTCCAATCCGAACCTAATTCCACCATCATTTTCTCGGCTGTTTCTTGTCCGATTCCTCTGAAATTTTGTCTACAGATAGAAATCGAAATCTTTCAGCTTGTAGACAAAATTTCAGAGGAAGCGGACAAGAAACAGCCGAAAAAATGGGTGAAATTAGGTTCGGCTTGGAATTTTCCCATGGCTACCTTTATAGCTGTGCTGTTTAAAAGATATTGGGGTGATGCGTGATTTGGAAGTGGTTGATTTGACGTCAAGACTTCGTCACAGTGTCACTAGATCGATCGGCCTTTGACTCGCAATAAGCCAAAAGTGATTCATTTTTTAAAAATAGATAGTTTGCGTTGAAAAAAAAAAACTTTTCAGCGGAAACCCCTAATTTGACAAGGCAACTGCGGGTGGGTGGCTTTTTGACGCATGTAGACAGGGTTATACAGGGTGTTCAATATTTAGTAAACTGTGAAAATAATCTAGAAAGTTGAGTTTGTTCCAACTTCTATGCAGTGCTTTCTTAGCGATTGTTTTCATAAGCTAATTTTGAGAGCGCTAGACCTGAGAGCGTTGACCTGAGAGTGTTAGACCTGAGAGCGTTGACCTGAGAGTGTTAGACCTGAGAGCGCTAGACCTGAGAGCGTTGACCTGAGAGTGTTAGACCTGAGAGCGCTAGACCTGAGAGCGTTAGACCTCAGATCTCTCAGATCTAACGCTCTCAGATCTAACGCTCAAAAGTCCCCATAAATATTAAACACCCTGTAGATAAAAGAGATAGAGTTAAAAGAAACCTGTATAGATTATCCTAGTATAATTGATGAACAAAATATAATAATCTCTTAGATTTTAGGATATATGATGTTTGGAAGAGCGACTTTTCTGGTGTGGGTGGCTCTCTCCCAATCGTAACCCCCAATTTCCCCAATTTCCTTTCAACCGATTTTTCTCTTTTCATGTACAAGATATTTTTAGACGAAATAGATATTTTTAAATTTTTGGGATAACCTTTTAAGTCAATTAGACCCTTCTAAATTAAGATAAACCTTTTGGAGTCATTGGTGACTTCAAAGCTTCAGAGCTGACTTCAAAGCTTCAGAACTGACTTCAGAGCTTCAGAGCTGGCCTCAAAGCTTTAGAGCTGACTTCAGAGCTTCAGAGCTGACTTCAGAGCTTCAGAACTGACTTCAAAGCTTCAGAGCTGACTTCAAAGCTTCAGAACTGACTTCAGAGCTTCAGAGCTGACTTCAAAGCTTCAGAGCGGGCCTTAAAGCTTCAGAGCTCAGTCGAGACTTTCTCTATTAGCTAGCTTTGACTGAATACCTTTAAATCTTTAAAGTTTTACCCTTTAACTAGATATTTTTTAAAGAAAAGCTATTGATTGACTGAATATCTTATCCCGAACTGACCACTGACAAAAAGGAAATAAAAAAGCGCAAATTTATGGGGGCTATTTAGAGCTAAATCTAGCAGAGCCTGATTGACTGAATATTTTAGCCTTATAACTGCATAGATCTGCGCACTCACCAGCGTGATCCAATTGTGGAGTCGAGCCAAGCAATGGATTCGCTTTTGGCATTTCCACATAGCCAGAGTCCTAAAAAAGGTAATTATTGTTAAAAATTGCTAAAAATTGCTAGAAAATTTGCTAAAAATTCAATAATGGGAGCTAAATCTAGCAGCAAGCAATGGATTCGTTTTTGGCATTTCCACATAGCCTAAAAAGGTTCAGCAAGCATCCTGATTGATTGCATATTTTCGCTTTATAACTGCAAATTGCTAGAAATTGCTAGAAATTGCTAGAAATTGCTAGAAATTGAATAATGATTGTTTTAATGGTGTTGTTACGAAAGAGAGCAATGAAACAATCAAGCAATGAAAAAGATTTCGCTTTATGAAATTTCTCTGAAATGAAATCATTGAAGTGGAGGATTGGTGAGCACAATTTTTTTTGCCTCATAAACGATAATTTTGAAAGCAATTTGAGCAAATTTGCAAGCAAAACTCTGCTTTAAGTTAGGTTGCTTAAAGCTTTAGGTTAAGTTGCTTTACATTGAAAAGAATTTCGTCACTAAAAAATGATTGTTAAAATTAAAATTTAAAATTTTTGGCTTTCCATTTTTTGCTTCACGAAATTGCCGAGTGATGAAAGTTTTAAATTTAGCTTTCTTTTTCACTAATTTTCTTTTTCACACCTCATACAAATCTTTTTTTTACAATTAGGACGTTAATCATTAATATTTAATCATTAATCATTAATATTTCAGAAATTTCAGCTGTTTTTTACATCAAATTTCTTACAGAAACCGCTTACTGAACAATATAAGATCTACTATATAAAAGAGCAGTATCTGTCTTTCTGTAAGGGCTTTTTCTCAGCCCTGTTTTGACCAATAAAGCTAAAACTTCTTTAGAAAACCTTAGAATATAATATAGTAATGTCATTTAAAATAAAAGATTTAAAAAGTTGAGTTGAGTGGCAATACCGGGGGTCGACTTTTTAAATCTTTTATTTTGCGTGCATATAAGTCGCATATAAGTCGCTTGCGAGAAAAACAAGCACTTTAAGCGAATTATCCATACTAGGCTTAGGTTATCAAAATAATGCTTGATTTGATAAAGATTGAGTCTAAAACTAGTCCAAATCTAATCCATATTTCACCTGTAAAGAAACGCGAGATAATGTTGAGGGTGATGGTGAATGGGAATCAATTGGATGAGCCGACGATCCGCGACGAGATCCCGTCGTTGAGCCACCATATTTCCCAGTGGCTTGCTTCAAAGCCAAATACACGGGATCGATGGGAAGTTCTGAAAGTTAAAATAGTGATCCCTGAGCGTCGACTGACTGATTAAGATGACTTTAAAAAGAGCAGCTACTGTATTTTCTCTAATAGTAGTGCACCCTGAGCGTCGCCTAAATTCGTCGAAATCTCGAGAACCGCTTATCAGAACCTATCGATGTGGGATCGCAAAATGTAGCTAACGATGAGATCTAGTGGGGGATTAGAGTGTTGAGCTTCTGAGAAAACTTTGGAACCCGTAAATAGTCATCAACTCGACTCGCCGGGGTGCACTACTATTAGAGAAAATACGGTATAATGCTTGTTTGTTTTAATTTTAGTCTTTCTAAACTTCTCAGCAATTTCTTTGCTCTAAAAGAATCCATTTCTGAATAATTCCCTTTTCCAAAAGGTTTCTCATATCATTTTACTCATTTCATAGTTATTTCTAGTAATTTTTTAAGCTATATATAGGATTAAAGCCAATTTTTCTCTTTTTTAAAGCCTAGTTGGGTAACTAAACCGGCGAATGGGATCAGATTTCGTCTCTTCATCTCTTTCTTTTTCGATTCTCAATAAGAAAACCCCACTTTTTTTTCTCTCTAACGAAATCGCCATCAAAAATTGCATAAGGAAATTTTGATTGGTGTACTTTGTGCGTCGAAAAACACCCTTTTCTAGCGCAATAAGATTTCAGCAAAATTTCAGACCTAATGCATCATAAAGTAAGTGTTTAGAAGTGTTTAAGCACAAAGTACACAGCCAGCTTCAGAGACAAGCAATTGGTGAACTTTGTGCGCAAAAATTCGTAAAACACTCGCTTTCTGGTACACTCGATTCCTCGTTTTGTTCACGCTTTGTCTCTTTTAACTTAGAATTCCCATCATTTTCCTCAATTATCTTTTTATTTCTCAAAAAAAAACAAAAAAACACTTTGGACACAGGCGAACGAAATCGAATTACTTGAAAAGAAAATAGCCTTTTCTGAGAAATTTTCGCAAACGGATTCAGCAATGAGTCAAGCCAATTTCTCATTTGAACTCAAGAAAAACGAAATGAAATTTACTTTTTGCCTTTTAGCCCAGAAAGAAAAAGCTAGTTTTCCCTAGAAAATTGGTGGTTGGTGAAAAAAGAGCATTAAACTTGCAATTGCAAAAATCGAAGGGTTTGATCGAAAATTTCTTTGAAGAAAGTGATGGGATCAAAGTTAGTGACCTAAATGGAAGGGATGTATGCAGAAAGAAAGAAAATTGTGGCCAAATTGAGGCTTAGGCTTACTTCTAAGCGAGCGATTGCAAGGGCGCAAAAAGAACACTCAAAAATTTGGGCATAGTGACGGCGACAAAAAGAAGAATCGGCTCAGTCCTTTACGCTGACCGAGTGGAAAAGGAACACCTATCTATCGAGCCGATGTGCCAGAAAGCGAGCGATTAGGCGGCCGCACAAAGAACAGTTTTTCAGGCATTTACATTGGGTTTTTTTCTTTTGCATTATGATATAAAAAAGCTATAAATTTAAATTTGTAGGTTTTGCAGGGTCATGGAATTGATTGGCGGGCTTTAAATTATCTGTATTCTTTTAGAAAACCCTTTTTTCTTTGGTTTCATTTGTCCGTTAAAGTCAATTATGTGTTTTAAAGTCAAAAAATTATTAAAAACCCGAAAATCTTTCTCATTTTCCCGTCAAATTTCATTAAAATTTATTTAAAAATACGGTAATCAAAGAATTTTTTCATTTTTCCATTCGAATTTCTTAAAAAATCGAATACCTAAGGGGAAAATTAGAAAAATTAGATTAAAAGTAAAGTGTCAGAGTTCTAAAATCTTGTAGAACTTAAAAATGAGTTTTCTAAATGATTTAGTGTCATTTATTTTGAATTTTGTCCTTCCCAGCGAAGTGATTTCGCCTATTTCAGAAGAAAACCCACAGAAAACATTGGGTTTCCAATTCCTAAGCAAAAAGTTCATCAAAAACACTAAAACGATCAATCATTTAATCAAAATTCAAATAAATTACTTATTCTTTAAAGAGAAATTACTTATTCTTTAATATTTATTCTTTAAAGAGTCTACAAAATCTTCTTTTTACTTCTATTTACTTAGAATTCTTTTCCTCTCCCTTTTTACAAGTTAATCTTTCAAATTAGCCACGAGAAAAGGCTAATCTACATGAAAAGAGTTAAAAGGGAAAGAAAATTCAATGAAATGAATGAATTTTCTCGTTTTCATTCAGAAATTTGTTAGAATCAAGCTTTGCAGATAGTTTTGACATTGCAAAATAGATTTCTGACAGAATTCTGCAAAAATCTCTCAATCGATAGCAAAATAACCAATATTTTGTTGACATATTCTTAAAATTCATTGAATTTGGCTAATTTTTATAAATCCAATATAGCTTTGTAAAAATTCCCTTCAAAAACTAAGTTCATTTTTATTTTTTGGTGCTCTAAATCTTTTCTACAGATAGAAATCATCATTTTCAGCTTTTTGATTAAATTTTAGAGCAATTGATCAAGAAATGACTGAGAAAACGAAGGTGGAATTTGGTTTAGAACGGAATTTCTCTGATCTGAAGATGGAATAGAGCGTTTGCCCGATAAGCGATAGGTCGCGGGTTCGAATCCCAGGTCCGACCAAGCCCCAACCCATCAACGTGTCCAACTCTGGGCTATCTGGCATCCCGCATGGCTCTGACTTTGGCTGGTGGCTTGAATTATCTCTGTCCAAACCGGCTGTACTAGTTTTATTTTGTACTTGCTTACTGTACTTGGATTTTTGATTACTTTTCACTTCTTGATTAACAACTTACAAGTACCCTAGCCTAAATACCTACCGTAAATACTGTAATAGTACCCCACGCCCCTCGTACAGTTGCGTAGTCGCAAAAGTTTTTTAGTTTTTTAGTATTTCATTGTTTTTCAAAGCACCCGTACTTTCAAAAAATGCGTCTTTGGTATCAAAAAATAGCTCTGAATTTCAGCTATTTTTTGATAACTACGCGAGCATTATAGCATAAACCAGTGTCGAGAAAAACTCGTCCAGAGCTAGACTACGCAACGCTCCGCACCGTCATTATGGGGGTGGGGTCCAATTACAGTACTTACGGTAGATTTAGATCAGAATTTCTCTTACCTGAAGGTGGAATTTGGTTTAGAACGGAATTTCTCTTATCTAATTGTTTCAAATTTTATCTAATAAAGAAGTAAAGGAATTGACAAGAAAAAGTCGATTTCCGGATCGACCTTTTGCTTTGCTTAGCTTAGCTTTGCTTAGCTTAGCTTAGCTTAGCTTAGCTTTGCTTGGCTTTGCTTAGCTTAGCTTAGCTTTGCTTAGCTTAGCTTAGCTTAGCTTTGCTTAGCTTTGCTTGGCTTTGCTTAGCTTTGCTTAGCTTTGATTAGCTTTGATTAGCTTTGATTAGCTTTGATTAGCTAGCTTTGCTTATCTTTGCTTTGCTTAGCTTTGCTTAGCTTTGATTAGCCTAGCTTTGCTTTGCTTTGATGCACAATTGCTCTAACCATTCAGCTATCCAATAACGTAACCATTTCCCATTTCTGCATCAATTCTAAGCGGTTAGCTGATTATCTTCAAAATTTCTAAGAGATTTAGCTGATCATTCGATCTTTTAACTAGCTGACTATATACTTTGAATCAAAATTCTTTTCTTTTCTCCATTTTCTTCATCAAACAAAACATAATCCGCTTTTTATCCGCTCAAATGAACACAATGAATTGTATTTCCCATTTTTACAAAAGATTTGTGACGTTCGTTTATTGGATTCTCTTGTAATCTCTAAAAAAAGTCTTATAAGCAAAAAAAAAAATGGAAATTTTCGTCACACGTCGTTTGGATTTGAAATTACCAGGGGATATTAATATAGCTAGCTATTAGCTAAAAAAATATAACTCAAAGTTTAATATCTGAAATTTAATAGCACAAAGTTTACTAATTTTAATAGTTTAAGCATAGTTAAATATCAGAAAGTACAGTGTTTACAAAAATCACAAAATTTCTACGTCTTAACCTGGGTTCTTCTTTAGATATAAGACTAAATCATACAGAACAACTACCGTAAATAATTTAATAGAACGCCATACTTTATCAACTTATCTATCTTTTTTAAGGATAAGAACTTTTATAAACGATTAGTGACTGGCCAACGTTTAGTAACAGTACTTTTCCTTATCTACGTAAACTATCGTCAACTATCAGTATTTTATTCAAACCACTCACCTCTGGACGGGGTGCTCTCGCTGCTGTGCTGTTCTTGGAGTCTCTGAAATCGATGTGATAAATCGGATTGGGGGCATCGTTTGAGAAATCTTTTCGGCAAAATGACACCCCGTGGGCCGACATTTGGTAACACTCGCCGCTGGGCGATCCCGGAATACTTTGGTGGAGTGATGAAACCAGTTTGTGGAAGGGTTTTATAAAGATCGGGTTGAGAAAAGCGAGAATGTGGGGATTGATGGAATTGCCGTAAAGAGCTTAGAGATTTATTCTCCCGAAGACCGGGATGTTCGGGCAAGAGTCGTCTCTCGTAGAGGTACTCCTCGGGCACAAAGGTTGACCCCATTTCTGGCGCCATTGAAAGGCGACGATTTGACAAGAGCTTTGTTTGCTCCATTTAGGTTTATAATGATTTCCAGATATAGAAAAGATCAGCCAATCCAATTTAAGCTAATCACGTAGCTAATCCAATACTCCAGAAGTATTAGATAGAGATAGAGATCAAGAAATTCATTTCCAAATGATAAATCTGATAGCTGAGTAATTTTTTTGAACTTTGGACAATATAAGACAATTAGAAGTTGTGTTGAATAGCCAAAAGATAAACTCAGGAATTCAAGGGGTAGAGGAGGGGCAGAGGAGGGGCAGAGTAGGGGCAGTGGAGGGGCAGAGGAGGGGGAGGAGTGGGCGGGGCTCTAGGGTCCCCTCTAGGCCCTGGAACCTGGGCCTAGAGGCTGCCCCCACTATTTTGTACCATACTAATCCTTCTTTACAAACAATAACTAAAGGATAAAAGTCTCGTCTTTAGCTAAAACGAAAACAATCTCTAGAATTGATTGGATTGATAATCTGGGCTTGTTTAGCTTGTTTAGCGTGAGTTTTTCTTCAGCAACTCAATCTCAGCAGGGAAAATGATCTCAAGAATGAGTGAAATGTGCCCAAATTTGAATTTAGCATTTTGCTAAAGGCTACAAAAGTTTTCAAAAACGAAAAACTACCCGATCGCCAGTTTTCATTTAAATTTTGGCTTCATTCGATGAGGAATTCAATGCTGAGTAATTGTTTGGACAATATAAGACAATTAGAAGTTTTGTTGAATAGCCAAGCTTGTGTTGAATAGTCAATTAAGCTAATTTGATTTCAAACTAACAGTTTAATTAGGATAGTTTTTAGAAAATACATCTGTCTTTTCGCCTTTAACATTTCGTAATCCATCGAAATTTTGTTTTCAATCAAAATAGCCTCTAGCTCTAGCTCTAGATGTTCTTTTTTTGGAGAAAAAAATCAAATTTTTTCCATCCTCCACATCACAACAAACTTTTTGCAAATCTAAAATTCAACCCGAAGAGTTCGGTTCGGTTTCTTGAGAGAAAATACCCTTTTTCCTTTTCTTACACACGACTTTTTCTTTCTTTACTCGTTGATTCGATGTTTTATGCCTCACTCCCAAGAGAATATTTCAAAGTCAATCAAAGAAACGATAAAAGAGTTTTGCCTTTTTTTTTTGCTTTCGAGAAATGCCGAGAGACTTCCTGGTGGAGGAGGACTACTTCTGGCTATAGAATTGAGTTTTAATCGGTTTTAATCGGTGGTTACTGCTTTGGTTGCTTTTGACATAAAATGTTGCTAAAAGTGGAGCGAAATTGAGGTCACTATGCCCAATAAATTTGGACATAGTGACGGTCGAAACAGCAAAGCCGGCTCAGCGAGGCCCACCCTGTGAGAATACCAAGTCGCTTACCTATCTATCGGGACGGAGTGCCAGAAAGCAAGCGATTAGGCGGCCGCACAAAGAACAACTCTCCAGTCAATTACATTGGGATTTCTCTTTTGTTTTATAGACGATATAGAAAAGATATTCAGCTGTAAATTTGTACTTGGGGGTTTTCGGGTTCGGGGAATTCATTGGCGGGTCTTAAATTGCCGATTGGTGGTCTGTATTCTTCTAAAAAACTGAGGAAACAATGCGATCTGACTTTTGAGTCTAATCACATACCATATTTTCTCTAATAGTAGTACACCAAAAGCTTTGCCTAAATTCCTTGAAATCTCGAGAACCGCTTATCAGAACCTATCGATGTGGGGTCGGAAAATGTAGCTGACGATGAGATCTAGTGGGGGATTAGAGTGTTGAGCTTCTGGGAAAACTTTGGAAGCCGTAAATAGTCATCGACTCGGGTGCACTACTATTAGAGAGAATACGGTAATTATCTCGTGATTTTCTTAAGATTTTATGATCAAATCAATCCCTATTTTATCTAAATCTGTAAGCCTAAAGTCTTTTCTTTAAAGTTATATAAAAAACAAAGTTCTAAACCTTCATTTTTCTCAACTAAAGCTCAAATTCATATCAAATCACTAATGTTTGCTCTATTCTCAATATTTTCGATATTTCATTGACAATTTCAAAAGTTTATTAGCATTTTTAGTATTTTTTTCGTTTAAAAGCTCTATTCTAACATAATAAAGGGCCTTTTTTTGCCCTTTTTTTGGCCTTTTCAATGTCCTTTTCAATGTCGGAGAGTTCATTTTGAAAAAAAGGAAAGGAATCGGGAAAATATCAGAAACTAGAGATAGAGATATTAAAAATATTAGAAATATTAATCTCCTTTTCACAGAATCACTCAAGCGCTCTTTCCCCCTCACCCCACCCACACACGGAAGTACTTGAATGAAATTTTTCATTCGCACGAGAAGAGAGAATGATTAAGAAAAAGAAAAAGTCATCGAAAAAGATCTTTATGAGATCGGGAAGAGTTTTTTTATTGCAAAAATATTATATTATGAATATTTTATTAGTGAAAGTATAAAGTATTCTTTTTTTTTTTCGATAAAACAACTTGCTAAAAGATATATTTCTGAAATAGTTGAGAATCGGATTGAAACTTTTTTTTCTAATCATAAGTAATATGGCTGGATAAGGGGTAGAAAAGAGTTGTAAATTGTAATTGTAAGTTTGAAAGCTTTCTATTTTCTGTTTTGAATCATTTCTTAAGTTCAATTGGATTAAATTCAATGATTTGAAGACGAAAGAAAGAAATTTTTACATTTTCTGGAATTTCTTTGTTTTATGGGATTTTCGATAACGAGAAATTGGACTTAAGAAATGATTCAAAATAGAAATATTCGATTTTTTTTTGATATTTAGATATTTGGGTATTTGGGTATTTAGATATTTGGGTATTTAGATATTTAACTATTTAGGTATTTAGATATTTAGATATGTGAACATTTACCGTAAATACTGTAATAGTACCCCACCCTCCTTGTACAGCCGGGTAGTCGCAAAAGTTTTTTAGTATTTCATTTTTTTCAAAGCTCCCATACTTTCAAAAAAATGCGTCTTTGGTATTAAAAAATAGCTGAAATTCAGGGCTATTTTTTGATACCTAAGCGCGCATTGTGGCATGAACCAGTGACGAGAAAAACTCGTTCAAAGCTAGACTACCCAACACTCCGCACCGTCATTATGGGGGTGGGGTACTATTACAGTATTTACGGTAGATATTTAGCTATTTAGATATTTAGATATTTGGGTATTTAGATATTTAGATATTTAGCTATTTAGATATTTAGGTATTTAGGTATTTAGATATGTAAACATTTAGCTATTTACTTATTTAGATATTTAGATATGTGAACATTTAGATATGTAACATTTCTCTATGATTTCTTTCACTTTATCGTTTGAATAAAGTATTATTATTATGTAGCTATTTAGATATTTAACTATTTAGGTATTTAGATATGTAAATATTTAGCTATTTACTTATTTAGATATTTAGATATATAAATGTTTAGCTATTTAGTTATTTAGGCATTTAGATATGTAAACATTTAGTTATTTAGCTATTTAGGTATTTGGATATGTAAATATTCAGATATTTAGCTATTTAGATATATAGATACTTTATTCAGGACCTGAGATAAAGTGCGCTAGATTTAGATTAAAACACATGAATTCATACACATAACACGAAAAGGGTCGATAAAAAGCAACACGATATAATATATGTAATATAATATATGGATAGCACAGATAACGCCAAGGATCCACTAGAGCTTCAAGATCAACATCATCTACAGATAATTTAAAGGTTTCGAGACTATTGGACTCTCACAGAATTTGGAATCGACTCTGGGAAATCGAAATTCGAAATTCTGGGAGTTCTTATTGGAAAAGAGTTATACACAAGCTTATTGGAGGTGACTGGAATTTCTAAAACTAAGAATTTCGAACGGAAGAACCTCTCCTTGAACTAACCGTGGGATTAACTTTGAATAAATCTCGAAAAAGAGGGATAGGTTGCCTGCCCGTTACAATATTTACAATATTACATATTTTCAAAATGTTTTAAAATGTTTTCAAAATATTTACATATTTACATATTTTCAAAATGTTTTTTTACCTCAAACTTTGCCCCGAAACAAACCTCGATCAATTGTGCATGAAATAAAGACATTTAAAAGCGTTTAGCTTTGTAGAAAAATTTAGTGGAATATAAAGGATCGAAAAAAATGTGTCCGAAATGTGAATGCCGAATTTTTTTCAATTCAAACAATTGAATGAGAGAGAGAGAGAGAGAGAGAGAAAAGAGATTGTAATTTTGCTCGATTCAATGCCATCGAATGTTTAGAATAACACGCACACATGGAAAATGGAAATTAATCGCTGCGATTATGAAATTTCGATTCGAGCTTTACATATAAAATGCGTAAAATACAAAAAAAAACAATCGTTTCGACTTTGTGCACTTTTTGGGAAATAGAAACGCAATGTTTCTGGTGGACTGAATTCTTCTTTTTTCTCTTAAATAACAATTTCTTTTTTTTTTTTAAATCTGTTTTCGCACTCAGGTGTTCCTATTTGCGCATCACAGATCACAACCTGCTTCCACATTTCTCTATCCCTTCCTATTGTCATCATATGACCATCCTTATGTCCCGTGATTAGATCTCTCGGCCTTTTGCTTGATCCCTCGATGCCGGAGGAGAGCAGGGAGGCCGTGCGGGGGACTGAGGCAGAAATGTATTGGGTTGGGGAGAATGAGTCGGCGCCGAAAATCAAAAAAATGTCTGAAACTTCTATTCGACTTCGTCAAATAATATGCGTTTGATATGAGTAGAATGGTTAACTAATTCTCTACAAAATGACATTTAAAAGAAAATTCAAACAGCGCCTCCGCTCAAGAAAAAGCCATTTTTTCACAAAAACTACAAACTGTGATCTAGAAAAAACCATTAGTGGGATCTTCCTGCAAATTTGGCACCTTAAGTAATTGAATGTGCTCTATCTTTTTTATATAAACACCAAAGAAGGTTTATGTGAAAGAAACTGTTCAAATGATGAGTCGGACTCTTTGCCATTTTAACCAGCTGCGTTTGGAAGTTCATAAACTCCACGAAAGAAAAGCTTTGTGGAATCTCTCAAAAGTGATTTTGTAGAGAAATAGTGGATCCTTTTGATGAAACCAAACGTATGTTTAAAGAAGGCTTTATGTGTGCAAAAAGTCCCTTTAAAGTTTGGCGCCGACTCATTCTCCACAACCCAATAGTTGTCGTAGCCAATGATACTCCGATGGCCGGGCTGGGGCGCTGGTTTCCCCTCCGGGGGAACCCACAAAAGTCGAACCCACGACTATCCCACGCCGACGTTGCTTAACTTGGCAGATCGGACGGGATAGACCGCAGGCCTTCTAGGCCCCCAATTTCTTTTTACAAATTCTATATCACGCCTTGATTACCGTACTCTTTGCCTGTTTATTTTATTATTTTTTCTTTTTTTTTTCAAATTTGAGAGTCTATTTCTAAAAACTAAAGCGTTTTTTTAAAGTCTAAAACAAAAACATCCTTTTTGATGCACTTGCCATTAGCAATCTAACTTTAAACTCGAATTTCTTGGTGTTTTGGCTTACCAATTAAAATCTTCTTCCTATCATTAGATTTGCCAAGTCTTTCTCTATCGATTCGTATAAAAATCATTTCAATTGATCAGCTCAGCACCAAGAAATTTGTACAAATCGATACAGAGACGCGCGATTTCTATTGTTAAAAATGAAGATTTCAGGGGCTTTAGAAAGAAAATGTTCAGGATTTTAAGCAAAAAATCAGGGATATCAGGGGGGAAAGCTACTCGTAATCCTTCTCCAAAAATGAACGGGAATTCATCAACGAAAACTTTCACGTATCACCTTAATTTTTAATTCCCAAGCTTTCCCCCTTGATATCTCTCAAAAAAAAAATGAATCGAATGAATCGAATTTCCCGGGCAAACTCTTTCTTTTCTCATTGTATTTTTCGGGGAATGAAAAGCCGAAAGAATAATTAGTTTTGTTATCCAAAAAAAGGACGTAAAGCTTGAGTGCTTTTTCATGTCAAAAAAAGAAATGGCTGGGGTGGCTGGGGACTAAAAATCGTTGATTTTTTTCATTTTTTCATTCGGAAATGAAAATGTCAAAGTATTTTTGGGTTTTGATGATAGAAAAAAAAGGTTTTTGAGTAAATTGAGCGATTTTTGAGTGAATTGAGCAATTTTTGAGTCAATTTTCAATGAATAAAAGGCAAAAAATGATTAAAATTCGAGATTTAAAGCAATCAAAGAACGTTTAATGATGCACAAAGTCGAATTCGATAGATTCGATAGAAATCGAATAGAAATCGAATCGAAATCTATGCTAGAAATCTAAGAGCATTCTTTGAAAGATCTCTATTGGTTTGGGATTGAAAAGTAAACGGCTTTTTGTTAAAATGATTGATTTTTAAGAAAGAAAGAGTTAGTACTGTAGCTTAAGCACAAAATAGAATACTGGAGTTGGAAAAATAGATGAACGATTACGGTATGCGATCCATTTATCGACCATTTGATCCACGCCCCTTTTTCTGATTGGCAAGCTAACTTTAAGCTCAAATTTCTTGGGGTTGAGCTGATCAATTGAAATAGTTTTTCTACGAATCGATAGAGAAAGACTTGGCGCATTTAATGATACCAAGAACCTCTAA